TACCCACGGTACCCCAAGGGAAAGGGCCACCCCGAGACTTTCCATGCAACTCCAAGACTATTTAGTTCGCCTTCTCCCGTCCTCTCCTCTCGTTTTTATTTCCATCTTCTATTTATTTTATCCTTTGTGGATCTGTTAAATATGGGTGTGTCTACCTTTATGGATAAGATCAAGCCTGGGAAGGCTGAATCCCAGTTCTCCTCCCAGGCCGCGACCCCTGCTCGTTCGGACTCGACTACTGCTGAGAAGGACAGCCTCACTCTCGATGATAGCCCCGTCAAGTACCTGACCTGGCGGTCATTCATCCTGGGTCTGTGTGTCTCCATGGGTGGTTTCATTTTCGGATACTCCACTGGTAAGTGTCACACAACCCTCGCCACTATGGATGCAACGTTAATAACAGCCGAACTTCAGGTCAAATCGCGGGTTTCACTACCATGATCGATTTCAAAGAACGTTTCGCTGAGTATAATGCCGCCACCGGCCAATATGTTTTCAGCAACGTTCGCAACGGTTTGATTGTCGGCCTGGTACGTTTGATATTTCTGGATTCCCACAATGCAAGTTATACTCATACTAAACTCTATTCCAGCTCTCTGTCGGAACTATGATTGGTGCCCTGGTGGCTGCCCCCATTGCGGACCGTATTGGCCGCAAGTTCTCCATCTCCTTCTGGGCCCTCCTCCACATTGTCGGTATCATTGTACAGATTGCCACCACCGACAAATGGTACCAAATTGCTCTGGGCCGTTGGGTTGCTGGTCTGGGTGTCGGTGCCCTTTCCAGTGTCGTCCCCATGTACCAGTCTGAGTCTGCCCCTCGCCAGGTCCGTGGTGCTATGGTCAGTGCTTTCCAGCTGTTCGTTGCCTTCGGTATCTTCATCTCGTATATTGTCAACTTCGGCACTGAGACCCTCAACAACGCCGCCTCTTGGCGCATCACCATGGGCATTGGCTTCGCCTGGCCCCTGATTCTTGGTATCGGTACCCTCTTCTTGCCCGAGTCTCCTCGTTTCGCCTACCGCCACGGTCGTACCGAAGAGGCCCACAATGTCATGTGCAAGCTGTACGGCGTTCCCCGCAATCACCGTGTCGTTGCCCAGGAGATGGCCGATATGAAGCAGAAGCTTGATGAGGAGCTCGCCAACGGCAATGCTCCTTGGCAAGAGGTCTTCACCGGCCCTCGCATGTTGCACCGTATCTTGCTCGGCATTGCTCTGCAGTCTCTGCAACAATTGACCGGTGCCAACTTCATCTTCTACTACGGAACCAGTATCTTCCAGGGTATCGGTCTGAGCAACTCTTACGTCACCTCCATCATTCTCGGTGCTGTTAACTTCTTTATGACCCTACCCGGTCTGTACATCGTCGAGCACTATGGTCGCCGCAAGTGTCTGATGTACGGTGCCGCTTGGATGTTTATCTGCTTCATGATCTGGGCCTCCGTCGGCCACGAGATCCTGAACGACAACCCCTCCTCGCACCCTGCCGGTGTTGCCATGATTGTCTTCACCTGCTTCTTCATTGTCGGCTTTGCTACCACCTGGGGTCCTATCGTCTGGGCTATCTGTGGTGAGATGTACCCTTTCAAGTACCGCGCTGTCTGCATGGGTGTTGCTACCGCCGCCAACTGGACCTGGAACTTCTTGATCTCCTTCTTCACCCCCTTCATCTCCAACACCATCGACTTCCGCTACGGCTACGTCTTTGCCGCCTGTTGCTTCCTCGCCATTCTCGTTGTCTTCTTCTTCGTCAATGAGACCCAGGGCCGCACTCTTGAGGAGGTCGACACTATGTACGTCCTCCACGTCAAGCCCTGGAAGTCGTCTGGCTGGGTTCCCCCCGAGGGTATCGTTGCCGACCTGCACGGATCTTCCACCGCGGGCCGCAAGGAGGGTGAGGCTGGCACTAGTGAGCACCAGCACCACGACGAGTCTCAGGAGATTCGCGAGTAATGCGGTAATGACTGAAAACGATCACGCGTATTGCACTTCGCTCGTGTGATTGTTTATTTTTAAACAAAATTCTGTCTTCATAATTAACTCTACTCTTTGATTAGTTTGAGTCTCCACCATATCTCTACGGAGACCATGATTTAATAGCATTACCAGCAAGGCTTGCTCTAGCAATCTTATTTATTTTAATCAGATTGATTCAAATTCTATCCATGTAATCATACCTAATCCGGCTCATCCCTAATCATTGATTCCCAAATTCCATCCCAGCTCCCTTTCTAACTGCCCCATAAACAGCCGCAACGTCTCCCTTGGCCCCATTGACCTCCTTTACAGTCTCCAGAAGCCCATCCATAACCTCGACATTCTTCATGCGCAGTCCCCCCTCTTTCGCAATTCCATAAGCATGTCCCAGATCCTTCCTAGCAAGATCAACTGCGAAAAGCGGCTCCTCCCGGACACAATAATCCCCGCCCACCATTCTCTCCGCATAATTAGCAAACGGCCCTGGCGCAAAAAGCCCAAGCCATTCTTGCAATGGCTCAACTCCAAGCCCAGATGCCTCGGCGGCAACCAGCGCCTCAGCAAGAACACCAACAGTATTAAGAATGAATGTATTACCCAGTACTTTCAGCGTCGACGCCCGTCCAACATCTATATCACGTCCACTTCCAGACGAAAGGTCAATCGTTTTCTTCGACACGACACCGTCAAAGAACGGACGCACTTTCTCAATTGCGTCACGCTTCCCAGCCGGAACGACGATAAGTTGTCCTGCATCTGCCATATTCGGCGCCCCGAAGACAGGACATGCGACGAATCCTGCTCCGCGCTCGTTGAACGCTGCTTCGGTTCGTCGCGATGTATCCGGGTGCACCGTCGAGCAGTCGATAAAGGTCTTGCTGGATAGATCTTGCGGGATTGTGGGGTCCGATAGGATCGCAGTGACGATTGAATTGAGCGCCGCGTCATCGCCAACGCAGGTGAAGATCAGCTCAGACTGGTTTACGGCTTCGGTTAGGGTTGGTACGGCTTTTGCGTTGGTGAGTTTTGACGCGTGGGATGTTGCTCGTGTCGCTGTCCGGTTGTAGAGGAGAATTGGGCCTGTTTGGGGGCCTTTTTCGGAGATGTTTTGGCTCATGCCCTGGGATGTCGGGTTAGATGTGGGTTCTTTTGAGTTGGAGGGGTGTTGGGGGTTGGGGGTTGGCTTACTCGGCCGATATTGCCGAGGCCTATCCAAGATACTCTAGGTCCTGTCATGATTGTTTGGTAGATACCTAGGTAGGGATGTGTATATTGAAGACTGGAAGAACGTTGGGGAAGAAGTATCGGGGTCTTTATCGGTGTGGGGTGTTTACCCCACACGGTTCAAATATTAGCCGGTGGTCATTATCCTGGAGGTACAGAGTTATTGATGTGCTGGATGTGTACTGATCCGTTTTATTTTAACTTCAACTTCTTTCGATGTAAAGCTACAATATCCTATAGGACTAACCAAAATAGGACCCCATCTTACAGGCAAAAGAGCCATATCAAGGCTAGTCATACTCCATATTGGACTGCTGCATTAGCTTTTAAAGGGTTCGGTGGTTCAGTCTAGATATATATATATGTACAGACCTTGAATTGTATCTATAAGTTAGTCTCTTGGCATCTGCACATCACCATAAGTCATTCGCGATACCCAAGAGCTGCCCTAGCTAGAAAAACATAAGATCTCATATTCACAAAACATCATATCCAACCTAAAGCTTCGACTTCTCAACAATCGCAACATCCCGAAAAGGTAACCCGAGATACATCCACATGAATGCAAACCTATAACCATTAGCATATATTTATCATATAGAAATCCTCCCAGACCTACCGATCACTACCGAAAAACGGCTCCTCCTTCCCGTCAGCATTCCGCACCCAAAACCACGGCGCGCCATAGGCTCCCTTATCAAGCGCAGTCTGGGTGTTCGCAGTCAAAGCCTGCTTGAATTCCGGACTTGACGCCGCAGCTAGGATCTCCCTAACTTCCGAGTCAGAGTACCCGTTGCTCCGGAGTACCTCAGCTAACTTCTCCGGCTTGCTAATGTCGATGTCTTTGTAGTACATACACTCCCACAGCGACAGGAAGGTTGTTTCGTACTTCTCGCGCGGGAAGTGGCCTTTGATGTAGACCATGCATCGTTGGGGCTGGCTCGTTAGTTAGCGAGAAAGAAAACGTCAGGAAGACTTGGAGAATGATGATACCAGGATTGAGAGGATTGGGAAGAACTCCGGCGTTTGGATCTGCGGGACTCCGAAGTATTTACATGCTCGCTCCGAGTCGAATTTGGAGTACGCTGCTTTGACGGGGAGTGACCAGGGTGGTTTATTTCCTGTTCAAAGTATCAGTGATTCTTATTTTAATATATTAATTCATAACAATATCTGTTTGATATTTGCATAATGCATACCTGAGCCGACGTTAATCCCGCCTAAGAAGACAGGGTGGAATCTGTTTTGTTAACACTCATACATCCCTTGTAGCAAACACGATGTGCTTACTCAACCTCGACTCCATGTGATTCTAGAGCTTTGCGATTTTTTCGTAGATAAAGTGTCGCATAGTATGAGTATGGCGACACTGTCAAAGTAACAATTAGCAAATAAACACCAATACAAGGGTGGAGCTGAGGGCTTTTCATACCACAGTCAACGTAGGCGTCAATTTTGGCAGGCATGACGAGTATGGTGAATTGTAATAATCTATTTAATCCCAGTATCACCAGTTAGCCTAGTTGAACTACGGAGTAGGGGAGATGGGGTTGATTATAGGGTGGAGGCTGGGGGCCGAGGTGGAGATGGACCGAGGTTCCGGGGACTATGATGAGGTGATCATTTAAATGTCAGCCCAAGTTCACAACTATTTGTTACCGAGTTGTATGTTAGTTTTCATTTTGGAAAAGAAAATAGTAGAAGGTCAATATGGTTCGTTAAATGCATTAAAATCGGGTATTTAACATGGATAAAATATATATATGCTAACGATTCTATATCTCATGCTTCTATTCAATCAATCCTTGCGGCTGATAGCCGACTGTTGAGTATTGACCAGATCCAAGTCATAGGGGTTCTCTTCATATTGTGCCGCAGTCGCAACACGATGCAAAGACCGACCGGATTGCCGAGACGCGCGTGACGCATACCGCGCGATGGTACCACGAGATGGAACAGTAGACAGAGTATCAGTATCACTCGAGTGGACATCATCAGATACCCGAGCCACTGAGTTTGTCTTCTCGTCCTTCTCTGAATCAGGCTCCTCGCGGCGGATCGCCTGATTTCTCTCAGCAAGGCGGCGCATAAAGGCATCCGCCTCTGATGCGTATGTGCACCGTTGTCTGATACGGGCGCCATACTTGTAGAAGATGAACGGGAAGGGCACGCACGCAAGCGCCAAAAAGGCCGGGATCGACGAGGCCCAATGAATACCCAGGTTATGGTACATGTAGGTTGTGAAAAGAGGGAAGGCCATGCCGAACAGTGAGCGGAGGGCGGAATTTGCAGCGAGCACGGAGGCGGAGAAGATCGTGTATGAGTCGATAAGGTAGTTGAACACACTGAGGAAGACGAGGACCATGCCGAAACCGAAGGGCGCTCCTGCTGCGACAGAGGCCATCCAGTGGATGTTAGGCGAGTTGCTCCAGGCGAACCAGAATAAGCCGATTGGTAATGCTATACCACCGACCATGCTTGGGGGTAGTCTCAGCTCGGGGGCGAGTCGGTCAGTGGTCTGGCTGCACTTTTTGGCGTAGCGGAAGTTTTCGGGGAACGTGTATACCACGGCCATTACCATGCCGACGAGGATGCCGAGGAAGGCGAGACCGCCGACACCTTCGCTCCAGCCGCGGACTTCTTGGAAGACGATTGGGTAGGCGGCGAAGAGCATGTAGAGCGTACCGTAGATAATTGCCATATAAATAGAGAAAAGTAGCACAATCGGCTCACAGAACAGCAGGATCCATGGGCGGGAAAGCGCTGTTTTCAACGTCTTTCCCAGAGGAGCGGGACCACGGTCGATGTCGAGCTGACTGCGATACACTTTCCCAGTTAAAGTAGACATCTTTTCTGCGCGACGGCGCAGTAGAACAGGTGCATATGTCTCTGGTAACAAGAAGATGATACATAGCCAGAGCAAACCCGAGAATGCAGCAAGGAGTCCCTCCACCCACCTCCAGCCGGCAGAGGCAGCGAGGAATCCTCCAATGACAGGACCTAGTGTCGGTCCTAGGAAGGGTGCAGCAGCAAAAAGACTAATAGCGATCCCACGTTGAGAAGCTGGGAACATATCCGCAATAGTGCCACCTCCATTTCCAAACGGCGAAGATCCAAAGGAACCCGCCAGGAATCGCAATATAATGAGTGTCTCGATGTTCTTTGCACCCGCCGCGCCGGCATTGAACACAGTGAGAAACATAAAAGAGATGGTAAAGATATGTCTCCGGCCGAAGATCTCACTAAGGGGTGCCCAAATCAAGGGCCCAATAGCGAATCCGAGCACGAAGAGTGATACCCCTAGAATGACGATTTCCTGGGAGGCACCAAAGTCCTCCATGATTTGGCTCATTCCGCCTGAGAATGCCGATGAGACCAATGACACTGCGAGAGTCACGAATGATACTAGGAGTGTAATAGACCACTTTTTAATCGGGCGGAAGTTCATGGGGTTGCGCGGGTCGGCAGGGATCCAGACGACGGCATATGGATCGTCTTCAGTGCCTGAGCCGGTGTATGAAAATTGCATGACTTCCTCGGTGACGACCTTTTGGTCGAAGATCAGGCGCCAGAAAGTAATTTTTGAAGGGAGTATGGCCTCGCCCCCGTCATGGGGAGCTGTCATCTTGACGGGCTCAGGCCAGGAGCTATCTCGTGATGTGGAGTAACTAGTGATATACCTATTAAGGTAGGGTACGATGGCCAAAACAGCAAGATCAACGAGAATATCAAAAAAATTTCCAGAACTGAGAATGGTACAAGAAAAGAAAAGGGAGATTCAAATATAACCGAAAGCAGCCTCGGCTCAATAATCGAATCATCAAAACCTCCCCCACTCTCCTTAACATATATGTTTTATATCTCGGCAATTAAATGCCCCATTACAAAATTTTTCGGTGGAGACCAATATGAGCCCCGAAGCAACCGGACTGGCTCAAATGTCGGCCCGAACGCCATTTTTACGGCTTCCCGAAGGCTTCGATGGCTTGGCAGATACACAAGGGTATATATATACATAACACATATATGTGTACCAAATATATATCAATTTGTACTCAAGACACCGAGATTGGACCAGCCCCAATCACCATTGCATTGGTTTGATGGATTTTCTGCTCCTCCTTTGACTGCTCTGACAGAAATCTGACGTATTGAAATGTATGGACCTCAGGGCTGATATGGAGAACTCTACATTTTCTATATAATAGAAACTGCTGTTTCTGTGCGGTTATTACTAAGCATGATTACATAATCTTCCATGGTATATGGTATCATCCCATGTATGCAACCTTGCAATTTGACATGCTCGACAGCCAGCAGCAAACGTGTGGAGCGAATATGGAGTTCTAACAAGTCAATTTGAGATCCCGTCAACAGAAGCAATGACTAACCTTGCAAAATAACTTCATACCCAACCCAAGAGTCATCGTCCCGAGCATCTTGATGCACTAGGACTGGGAAAGATGGGTCCCACGCCTTTGGCCGCACGCCCATTTTTAACCCCACGGTTTTGCTCGTATCCACCCACAGCATATCGCCGCCGGAAGACATCCGTGTCTTTTGAGAGCCCTCTTCCCAGTCAGTCTCAGTAGTCCTTTTCATCTTCCCACTTTGGTCGCGCAACCACTCCCTCCATAACCGAACAGACCCATCCTGAATAGTCGATGCACTCAACAACAACATCGTTCCCGGCTTCACTTGTACTAGATTGGCCACCACACATAACTGTGAGAAGTCTTCATATCCGTCCAAAGTAACATCACGTATCACTGCATCCTCTTCCTTGCCTTGACGACCCCGCATTCATGTCAGCCCCAGCCCGTATGAATCCCACCACCTCCGACAACAGAATCATCCTACCTGGCGAGAAACCGAACTTCGAGCCATATTTCCCCCATTCTTGTTCTTCACCATCATCATCGTCGCTTACCTCTGGACGGAAGCGCGAATATAATCCCGTTACTCTACCAAGCTGGTGGGCGGTATCGACGTGCTCATACAACGAACCCACGCCATCATGACACTCGCTCAGGCGATCTGTACCGAGGTATTTGCAGAGGACGGGTGGCTCGGTGAGCTTTGAGCTAGGGTGGAAGCATTCCAATAATAGTTTGTATTCCTTGAGTGGTATGGTGAGAAGTAGGCGGTAGTGGAGGATTCTTAAAACTAAAGCGTGAAATCGGTGGTTTACTGAAGTGAGCGGGAGAAGTGCCCGGGTTGAGAAGTCGGATAGGATTTGGATAAATACCTAAAGATAGGATTAGAGTCATAGCCTATATAGTCTTCTACTGTAGACATACCTCGTTTGGTAACGAGTCCAATGTCACTGCGGGGTTGGCGGGGTTCATAGTTGATGTGTGTTAATTGAAATGTAACCTGAGAAGAGAAGCCATTGATGATAGTTAGTATACTCATACAACAGACAAGAAACAACAAGTCTATGTGTTGACCTATGTTGGGTCTATATTGTACATCCATGGATGTACTGGATGTACTGGAACAAGACGTAACTAACAACACGTAAGCAGAACGATAAGCGATAAGTGACGTCATACCGAGGCGGGCATAAATTTCCTTTTTCGGCCTTTTGGGGGGATGCCAGTCCACTGTCAGTCCACTGTCAGTCCACTGTCAGTCCACTGTCAATCAACAATCCACTCTCAATTCAACTACCAGACCACTGCCAGCCCACCTAACCACCCATGTGGGACAATACCCCGGGGATTCTCATTTTTTATCGGTTAGTTACGGCGCTAAATTACCTCTTTTGACTACACTCAAGTAAAACAGTTCCCCCAAGCGTTGTGCGTATTTCCCCAGAAAACTGCGGGATCCCGATTCCCTGTACGGCTCACCGAGAGAAAAGACGGAGGTGATGCCAAGACGTTGTATGCCAATGTATAACTAGTCATTGTTTCTACGACTTCGATATAGGACATAAATAACATAAATAACACTTGGCATCGCTTAACAGTTGCAACTTGACACATTCCTACTCCGGAGACCCCGCCTCCCCACCAGAAGTCCAACCCCCGACATCCTTTTTAAACACTTTCGGGTCTTTTCTTTTCTTTTCCTTTCTTCTTCTCTCTTCAAGATATTCTTGTGATCAGCCAATATATAGCGTCATGGAAAACGTACTCGACGACATCTCCCACCGGAGATACAACCCCCTTCGTGGCTCCTCCATATTGGTCTCCCCCCACCGAACCAAGCGGCCCTGGCAGTGAGAATTATCATGACAAAATCACACTCCGAAACAACTTTGCTAATCATACAACACTCTAGAGGAGCCCAGGAGAGCCCTTCCAAGACTACCCTGCCCAACTACGACCCCAAATGCTACCTCTGCCCCGGCAACGAGCGCGCCCAGGGCGATACCAACCCCAATTATGAGAGCACTTTCGTATTCGTGAATGACTACAGCGCAGTAAAAGAAGAACAAGCGGCCTATGAGCCGTCAAACGAGGATGGTACGTCCAGCTGCCCAGCCCATCCGCACCACCCATACATACCAAGCTCACAAACCACAGAACTCGAATCGCGGTTCCTCAAAGCCGAGCCCGTAACCGGCAGGTGTTACGTGCTCACCTTCTCATCCGCGCACAACCTCACCCTCGCCGACCTGGCGCCTCGCGAGATCGTGCCCGTGATCGACGCCTGGACAGAAATCTACACGGCACACTTGTCCCCAACGTCCCCGCTAGTGAAAAACGCACCCGCAACAACACTGCCGCCCACCTCCCCCTCAACAAGCGTCACCAAGCCAAAGGAGCAGTACCGGTACATGCAGATCTTCGAGAACAAGGGTGAGGCGATGGGGTGCTCAAACCCGCACCCCCACGGGCAGGTGTGGACGACTAGCTCAATGCCGGAAGAGCCCGCCGCCGAAATGGATCAGTTGACCAAGTACCGCCAGCAGCACGGCGGAAGTCACCTGCTGGAGGACTATGCGGCGCTAGAGAGCCGCAAGCGGGAGCGCGTTGTGTTTGAGAACGAGGCGTTCCTGGTTGTCTGTCCGTGGTGGGCGACGTGGCCATTTGAAACGATGATTGTTAGCCGCACGCACAAGCGCGCGCTGGTGGATTTGTCAGAGGCCGATAAAATGCTTCTTGCCGAGGCGATCGCTGAGACTACCCGTCGCTATGATAATCTCTTCAAGACCCACTTCCCTTACAGCATGGGTATCCATCAAGCTCCGCTGGATGGCACTGAGGAAGAGGTTGAGGCATCTTACCTGCACTTGCACTTCTATCCACCTCTGCTGCGAAGCGCTACCGTGCGTAAATTCTTGGTTGGCTATGAGCTTATGGCGGAACCTCAACGTGATATCACCCCCGAACAAGCTGCTGCTAAGCTGCGGGCTTGCGGTGGTGAGCTGTACAGGAAGAAGATCGATTCATGATCTGTCTTGGAATTAAAAGAAAAAAAGAAAAGAAAAAGAAAAAGAAACGAAACGATCGTGATGAAGTCTGGTCAGAGTTGTATCAGAGTTGAAGACATTTCCTCCTATATGCATAAATATTATTTCCCCTGCAAAAGGTTTTGTGCATAGTAAGGAAGTTTAATATAAACAAGGATGGGATTTCGCGAGCTAGACGAGCATCCAAGGACAGTATTCACCACGTTAACGGGCGAAGGCCAATATTTCTCCGCAGGGGCCGATATTTATTAGGAAAGGACGATTTTCTCGAAATGAAGTCACGCCCAACTCTCGCATACTAACAAACAACTCCCGTCTCTTCTCCTAGCCTTGGCTTTTCATCTTTGAGTCTGCTCAAGCTCGTACGCACTACATAGATCGAGCACTGATTTGCGCAAGTGTGGACTGCTAACATAGAATGTCGCTAATAGTCTCCCTCGTCAACTGCGTCGCATCTTGCAAAATGCCAAGCACGATCAACCCGTTACCACAACCCCAAAGGCGGAAGACTTTGGCAGAAAACCCTACAAGACGGTCAAACACGGCAGAACCTTGGTCGAATCGTCACAACTACTACATACTACCAAGATAAGTAGTGACCCATACCATGTTATAGCTTGGCACGCCCTAATGTGGAGTATATGGATGGATGGAAGATATCACCACATACAAGAGAGAGCCTGAAGAAGGATAATAATTGAGCGGATAGCTTAGAGCTATTAAGGGAGGAAGAAGTAGGATGCCTAGAGATAGAAGTGCCATTTGATCACATGTATGGGCGACATATGACCATCCATGTCATCATTTATAGTTGTGTTTACTTGTCTCCTTCCCCCAAGCTAAACATCCATCGCTGTCAAACCATCTTGCTTTCCAAAATACTACCCTTTGCAGTCCTCGCCATGGCATATAATACCAGAACGACCTGCTTCGATGCTCGATTGCTCCGCGGCCTTGTAGGTACTACGGTCACCACATACGACCTTGTCTCGGATGTCGAGTTACCGCATTCATCGGCAGTCTCCCGAACATGGGTCATCACGAAGAAACTCAACGAGAGGGTATCCCCTATGACAGATTACGATGTCAAGATGGGCCGCGGTTCAGCTAAGACAGTTGGCAAGTTCCTGTGCCACTTTGCAGGGGACCCAAACCAAATAGCCTTTATGCGGATCTATCAACAGATTCCTACCACTGGAACAGAAGACGCTGACCACGACACTCTGGCTAGACAAGCCGTTGCTCCTGGAGTTTGTGGCGAGCTTGAGGCCTTCAAAATGTTGCAGAGTGGAGGCTGTAGCGCCGTTCCTCGCTTTCTTGGCTACGCAGAAAGTATACAAGGAGATAGCGACCTCCTTCCTGGCGGCTATATTAGATATCTTGTGTGGGAAAAGGTCCCAGGGGAGCCTCTAACAAAGGAATTCTTCTGGGACTTGGATATTACCGCGCGTAAAGATATCCGCGCTAAGTTCCGCGACGCCTATAAGTAAGTCTATGCAAACCTCAGGCAGGTAGATATAATATTGACATAATAAAAAGGCAGATGCTTAGTTGCGGGGTTACACTAGGCCAATCCAGGATCTCGAAAATCATCTTTGATCAGTCCACAGGCAACCTGTACGTTAGGGATACCATATAAATACATGCGTTGGAGATATATACTAATGAACTTTAGTCATCTCTCGGGATTCCGAATGGGATGGCCAATTATCGATAAAATCGAATGGTCAAAGTCCCGTTACGTCGAGTTTGAACTGGCGAAACCAAGTGAAGGAGACTGGTACCTCCACCCGGAGAAATGGCAGTGGTAAATAAATAATCAAGTTCATTCCAGATTGTCAGATCTCTTAGTCTCTTTCTTAGCTTCTGTAGTTTAACTTCTTCAACCATCAATCAATCAATCTCATATTGCACCATGCACTTCGACATCCACGTAGACCTCTCCTAGCAGGAATGAATAATCCCTGCAATTTCTCCACTATGTCTGGCTTCTCTGGCTCTCAAGGGTGTAAGTAACTATCATATGGTCATAGTACCACGAATTTTCAGTCACCAACGCCACCCATTATATCAAGTAATACATCTAGCATTGCTCTGTGGGCTAACTTATTTTCACATGCTGAATGGCTTCGCCCCTCTGTCACGATCTATAACTATCACATACTTATCGCATGTCAAGGATTGTTTGCTCCCTTTATTTCCTTTGTTTGTTTCTTTCTTCTCTATTTAGCAATGAGGAAAGAGGTTTGTTTGCTACGTAGGATAGCTCTGCTATAAGATCCCTTAGGATTTACTACTTGCTCTATCTCTTCTCCCTATCTTTGCTTTCTAGCTTGAATACATTCTTTCTTCTTGATTGAATGGAAAGGATATACCGCAATCTAGTATAAACTGGTCGAGACTATACACCACACTTAGCCGACATGTTTGCTGAGAGCAATATTGATATAGTAACGGTAGGATCGCACCATAGGAGCTTTAACACCCTTCTCTCGAAGAAGGGGCATAGAAAGCGTTTCATTGTATAACTGGGGAGGATACCCTACCTTTTCCTCCTATTGTCGAGCGAGCCGTCTACCCCCAGTCTACTTCACTAAAGCCCCTCCCGTAAGCTAGATAGGTCAACACAAGCTAAGCCATGTAGACAGAAGCGTTAAGTTATACATAGTTTGTGGTCCAACATGCAATGCTCAGTTCCCTCCATGGCTATCTGTTCCATGTGTTGCGCTGCGTCAAACTATTTCCCGAGGCCATCCTCTTTTCCAAAACCACGGAGTTAACTCAGGTACGCCTCACGCTGGGTGAACATCCAAGCCAGCGATCCCGACGCAACAATCAAAGGGTTCAAGAACCGGCCCTTGAGCGAGGCATTGCCCAAGACGAGCTCGCCAATAAAGTGTGACAGCGCAATGCCGTATGTCCACATGCCAAGGTCGTACGCGACGGAGTTTGTAATGTTGTAAGCAGCGGTCATGCGAATGACTGCAGAGAGGAATGTCCAGGTTCCGAAGATGCGGCCGGAGAGCGGAGTTGCGGGGACCTTGCCATTACTGTAGAGTAGGGAGGTGTATTCCGGTGCAGCGTAGGCTTGTAGGCTGTTAAGAGCGGAGACGACCGAAACCTACATGTATATAGAGAGGTGGTTAGTTCAATTTGGGATTGTTATCTAGGGGTTCGGAGTGGCAGTGGTAATAAGATTGGAGAGGGACACAGAACTTACAAAGAAAAGCCATTTGGGCAGGAAGCCCTCGGATTGAGGGAGATAGGCGAGGTATTGGTCCATTTTTGAGTGAGTGTGATGTTGTTTTTTTTTTTGCTTGAAAGGAGATTGGGGTTGTTTTTCTGACCTTGAGAGGCCGAGGATGTTCGGGGGGAGTCTTGGCATTGATCTTCCCCAACAACCTTGGAAGCTTCGCATCAGTTTGCTCAACTTTTTTTCCCCTTCTATCAACTTCACATTATTCACGTTTTCTTTACTCATTATGGATCTCTCGAAGCATATTGAGTGTCTATCCAAATGGCCAGCCCATATTACCCCTGGCTTACCTACTTATGGAGCCTTGTTCCTCCTGGCGACTGGTGGGCTGGTCATTGCCTGCAAGGTCTGGACGTTCGTGCGGGTGCTTCTCAGCCTGTTCGTGCTTCCAGGTAAACCGGTAAGAAATTGGATATTCAGTCCTTCAAATTTATTAGGATGAAGCTAATTAGAATGATTAAAAAGCTTCGCTCGTTCGGCCCCCCGGTAGTTGGGCCGTGGTAACGGGCGCCTCAGACGGTCTGGGCAAAGAATTCGCACTGCAATTGGCCAAGTCGAAGTTCAACATTGTGCTCGTATCACGAACAGCCTCGAAGCTGGCAACCCTGTCAGAGGATATCAGCAAGCAGTTCCCGCAGGTGCAGACCAAGACACTCGCAATGGATTTTTCACGCAACGCCGATGCCGACTACCAAGCGCTGGGTGAACTGGTCTCAGATCTGGACGTGTCCGTGCTAGTCAACAACGTTGGCCTGAGCCACTCGATCCCCGTTCCGTTTGCGCAGACCCCCGCCGCAGAGATGGCTGACATTGTGACCATCAATTGCACCGGCACGCTGCGCGTCACCCAGCTTGTCGTCCCGGGCATGATGCAGCGCCGCCGCGGTCTGATTCTGACTATGGGATCCTTCGGTGGTCTCCTACCAACCCCGTTCCTCGCCACTTACTCCGGCAGCAAGGCATTCCTTCAGCATTGGTCTACTGCTCTAGGCGGCGAGTTGGCCCCTTACGGCATTGATGTGGAACTTGTCCAAGCCTACCTGATTACATCTGCCATGTCCAAGATCCGTCGTGCCTCGGCTTCTATCCCTACCCCGCGGGCTTTCGTTCGCTCCGTTCTATCGAAGATTGGTCGCAGTGGTGGATCGCCTACCTATGCTTACAGCTCGTCGCCCTACTGGAGTCATGGTATCATGGCCTGGTTCTTGACTTCTGTTTCTGGGACTATGGGCAAGCTTGTTCTCGGGCAGAACAAGTCCATGCACGAGAGCATTCGGAAGCGCGCCCTTCGAAAGGCTGAGCGTGAGAATGCTAAGAAGAGCACTTGATTTGTTCGATTTGCTGTTGTTGCCGACTACAGGGAGAATACATAACACACTAGCCATTCCTATTGCGCCCACCCCCCCAAATCGGACGGTTATGCTCTTCTTGGGCATGATATATATATTATTTGAAATGCATGATGGGTTCGAATGGGTGTCTAAACAAAAATATCACAATAATAGGAATAATATCAGTTATATCTCAGTAGTACCGACTTTATAGCCTGAAGGTGGTACATCCTACATGTATCAACCCGAAAGAGTCGAAATTTCTTATCGATAAGCACTTATCACCCCACCTTGGAAGCTCTGGAGGTTCTCTGACCGTGGACAAATCTCATGTATCGTCTACAACGACGGGCTCGAAATTGCACATGTTACAGACCGATTTGACATATTTGGGTGCTCGACGTCCAAAGTCATCATGCCTCAAATGACCCACGGCAGTGGCGATGACAAAAATTCCACAGAATCAAAGACATCGATCTGTGACAATCGCATCCACCTCCTTCTTGCCGCAACCGGCTCAGTCGCGACTATCAAAATAGCCAATATCATCAACGCCCTCTCCCATCATATCCACAAGCTCTCGATAAGAGTAATCCTCACCACCAAAGCCAAGCAATTCTTAGCCGGTCAGTCCGCCGAGCAGCCCACCGTCTCGTCCCTCATTTCCCTCCCCGGCGTGGAAGCCGTCTACGATGATGAGGCGGAGTGGGGACCTGAGCCTTGGCGCCGTGGTGTTGATATCTTGCACATCTCTCTCCGACGCTGGGCAGATATCCTTGTCATTGCTCCTCTTTCCGCAAACACCCTAGCCAAGCTTGCCAACGGACTTAGCGATAACCTATTGACCTCTGTATGTCGGGCCTGGGATACTGATGGCCATGTTGACGGGAAACGAAAACGGATTGTAGTTGCACCGGCCATGAATACGGCTATGTGGCGGCACCCAGTGACCTCCCAGCATATCCGGGTGCTAGAGGAGGAATGGGGCGTTAGAAAAGACGAGGACAAGGGAGAGGGGGTGGGCTGGTTCGAGGTTCTACAACCGCAGTCATCCAAGGTGTTAGCTTGTGGGGACATGGGGAGTGGCGCTATGCTAGAATGGACCGAGATAGTCAAGGTCATCGAAGACCGGTTAGGGTTGAGTGATCAGAATCCATCCTAGACTCGTTAGGATCTGTCCCTTCACATTCCTCCTGGATTCCAATTTATCACATCCTGCCCCCAACCGACTATGTGGTGACATTTCCAACTCGTCCTTTTGGAAGTCTTTGATGGAACTTCTACAATATCTTTTCTTCCGCTATTTTACATATTTCTTTTGATCTAACACCAAAGGTGTTGAATTGGTAAAATGACTCTATTGAAAGAACCAGACGAGTTCAAAGTTGCAATCATGATGGTCCCAAACAACTGTCGTACTTTGCTCCTTATGTGGCGGAAATGAGATTTAAATACCTGCCGCACCGCACTATTTATTCACTTTTGATTTGAACAAGGACTAGGGTGAAGATAAGGAGAAGGAATAATAAGTGAAATTGAATCAAGCAGAAAGTCCACGTGCTATAAACCCAGCTGCCTCTTCAGTTGCATATTCAAGGTCGATCTAAAACAATCCATCCGCATTCTACTCTCGATCATGAGGCATAGTAAAGCGCCTTTCTCCAATTTCTTGGTCTAGTGCGCGTGCCCTGAAACGTATCACCCGATCTGTCATTAGAAAAGACACTTCAACCGTAACCTCCAAGTAGTAGACCGTCTGTCCGGCGATGATTTGACGAGGAAACCGCGCAAGGTCAAGGCCATTGAAGTGACATTCAATATAATCGATGGGACGCACATCTATATTCAACCATTCTTAGTATTTCCGATCATTTTCTTGAGACTGTAAGCACAGAGATGTGGGAACTATAGACGTACCGGAGTTTCCAAATTGTTGTGGTGCAACTGGGAGATTGGACTCATAAATGTCCACAGGTTTGACAAGAAGATCGCCCTCCCAATGTAGTAGCCAAATTGTACAGGATGACTGGAATGCCTTTGAGTATCTCTGGCCCTTTTTCCGGAATTCATCTGTTAGATAATGCCAGATAGTGGATATTCACATCCTACACACCTTGCATAAAACCCAATGGAGGAGGAGATCACGCTCATATCCAAGCCTCTGTGACTCATTTTGGTTGGAGAGAGCGAAAGGTTGAACCGATGCTAGACCGTAATTTCGCCAGCACTTGTAAGTTGGAGGAGAGTAGCCCCGAAGGCCTTGAAGTGCCGCCCCACGAACAGTAGTCTCTCCCCTATGAGATAGATGTTAGATTTCTCCCTAACCTTGCAGCATACAAAGAGGGATTTCACTCACGGCATCGAAGGAACAAGCACGGAAATGTTGTTCCTGTGTTTTAGGGCACGTTGTAGTGCTTCCTGGAGATAGGGCGAGGCGGTAAACCCGCCAACCAAGACGACTTTCTGTAGAAGAAGAATGCTAATGTTATTCTCACATGTAATCCACGAAGCAATAATGAAATTCACTCACGTTGATGACATCCCGGTCACATCTTTCATTCGCAGCTCTGATCTGAGACAGAAGGAGGTTGAAAATTGAGCTGACAACAGGCTCGTACAAACCTCGAATATCTTGGGATCGAAGAATAACACGTTTTCGTCTTTGATTAGAGAGTGCGAGATGGCTGCCAGGGGGATTGAAGTCCAAATCAAAGTGCCAGGTTTGTTCTCCTTTGCCATCGAATAATTCTTTGATTTTTTGAAATTTCTTCATGACAAAGCTTCCTGGTTGGATCTCGCTCATGGGCAGATTATCGAACCCTCCTTCAAGTCGACTAGACACTAGTTCATAGAATCGACTGTCTATAGCAGTTCCACCACATTTAGCTCCTATTGCCTATTAGTGTCAAGGTCAAGTCAATTGTGTCTTTTGTATATCATACCCATGGCGGCAGTGATCTGCTCAATAGAGATTGTTGGAGCAACATCTGTGACATAGTATGTTGTAACATCCTGTTTATGATTTTAGATTCTGAGGTGCCAACAATATAATGGGGTATATCTCACCACTGTGCCACCTCCACAGTCACAGATTAGAACTCCATCATGAGCCTAGGGGTCCAGTGAGCAAAAAGCTGAGTTAATCAAATTGTCCTTCCGAGGGCTTGACTTACCTGAAGGTTGAAAGTCTTGTCACTGAAAACGGCAAGAGCTGCAGCCTCAGGTTCCGTTGCGGTCCAGAACCGATCTAGAGGGTCTCTTCCAAAGCCTGCCATTTCAATTGCTTGACCCATTAAGAGCTGTGTCTCTTCAGACCATGTAGCTGGCATTGTGAACAAGAAATCGACTGGCACTCCACTTGGATCCTCTTTGTCGCCGTGAAGAAGCTGTACAACTTTGGGGATATGGTATTTGATATGTGCGCAGATCAGAGAAAGATAATCTGCCACAGTGTCCACAGCTTGCTTTTGGTCGGGCAACTTTAGGATCTCTGAACCGGTGACCGCCATCAGCATTTCATCGTTGAACCCACTATGCTGGACATCTCTGTCCAGTAGCAGCTTTGTCCAGGCATACGATTGCATGCCTGGCTTAACTTCAAATCCCCAGAGATGTGGTCCTCCATTGTGCGTGTATGAGAGCAGGGATGGAGTATTACAATTGCCCATAATACCCGGGGGCCAACAGTCCATCAAAAGAATGCTGTCAATGTCCGGTTGAGCAACTGTGTCGGTCTTGGTAGCAAAGGCAATCTCTATTTCCAACAGGAAATCAAATTCGTTAGCAAAATAAATGAACTCCTGATTGACATAAAACAGGCTTTCTCACTCGTAAAGGTGGTACCGTAGTCCACCGCCACAACCAGCTTGCAGCCACTCCCCACTTCCATAATGCTCTCGAACTAAGAAATGTAATGCTTATGCTGTGGGAGATATACCTCGGAAGGACAATTTGAATTAAAAACTCGTCGTAGATGCTTAGTTTTATACATTTGATGAAGCTCTAGTGATTCCAAGCTGATGTTTCTGTTTCTGTCGTCTTTCAACATGACCATCGTATGTTTCATTACATGTAAGACTCCGCAATAAAATAGATGAGAAACAGAATCGCCTGGTTCAGACAGTGACAGAAAGACACATTAGGGGTTCTATTTCCTCTTAATTAGTTCCCGGTTTTGTTCTACTTCAAATTACCCTTTGTAAATACATAAAAGTTGTGCTTACTCGAAAGAAGAAATTGAGGAGTGTGTTGGTACTTGTTAGTCTCTCATAAGGGATTATAGTTTTCCTAATAGTTTCATTTAGCGTCAAAAAGCACATTTCTATCTCTAATGTGAAAGTTCGTGAAGTTTTGCACTAGTTCCACAAAACAAAGTAGTAAAAGTTCAGATTTCTTTATCTCTAATGTGAAAGTTCGTGAAGTCTTACACTAGTTCCATAAAATAAAGAAGTAAAAGCGCGTAGATACTTAATTCATTGCCCTAGTTCTATCTAGGCTTAAAGTACTCCGCACTTATTTCTTTATCTCTAATATAAAAGTTCGTGAAGTCTTACACTAGTTTCATAAAATAAAGAAGTAAAAGCGGGTAGATACTTAATTCATTGCCCTAGTTTCATCCAGCCTTAAAGCACACGTTTCTTTATCTCTCACGTAGGTATAGTAAATTTCACCGGTTCCAAAGAGGAAATTTCCAAAAAAGTAACAAAGAAATGTGTTTCCAGTCTCTCGTACCGGTCTAAAAGCAACAAAGAAATATATGTGTGTGTAGCACTGCTTCTCTCCGATTCACCGAGACATAAAGTGGAACATGTCGGTACTATTATTTTCTCTTTTCCTTTATTTTCTATCGTTTCTTCTGCTATTTCTTCTGCTATGGATACTACTGAATCGAGCCGAAAGAGACAGAACTCTCATGTAAGTAGCTTTCCCCCTTGCTGCTATATGTTTGGTCTAACACACCTTAAAAGAAAGACCCTCCACCTCCAGAACATCAGCAAAAGAAATCAAAGATGTCTGTCCCCGCAGCCCACCAACGAAATCACTATCCTGGACATACACGGCTTCAATACATCCAGGAAGTTCTTGAGATGAAAAACATGATCGATGCCGGGTTGTCAACTTGGACCGGGCCATCCAACAAAAAAGAGATGGAGTCTTCGTTCCTATTCACCCCATATGTCCAGTCTTTCGCCATTCAATATGCAAAGTCCAACCCTGAGGATGTGGACCTTCTCTCTGAAAGCCAGAAGCAGACCATCATCAGCAGCCTTGCGGGATACTGTGTGCAAGAGGAATGGGACGTTCTTATGGGACTTCTTCCTGGCATGGTTCGTGCGATGATCCTTGAGGTATTCCTGGAAACTCTGATTTACAAACAAATATTTGAACGGTTTTTCATGGCCCCTTTTTGGTACTTGGATGGAAAAATGTCTCCGTCAGACGAAGGAGATGAGACGTTCGGTACACGCCTGCAGCATCTGTATGACAGATTCTATGAAAGTATGTATCCAGCTTCCCATCCAAATATATAATTTATTGACCATGGTCTTTCAACACTATAGCCAACCCTCTCATGGCGGCATTTTGGAGATCAGAAACCAACCGCCTGGCAAACGCGACGGCTGAAAATCTAGCATCGAGCACACTCCTTGCAACTCATCATCGGAATCGCCGCGAGTCTCGCCTCGATCAATTTGTGGATGACACTCTCTCCAGTGAGCCTATCAAGTGGCTACTTAGAGAGCCATCAAGCAAGGAGGAGGAGGACGAGCGCTATGAGCTCCTTCAATGTGTTTATAAGATAGCAGCACAAAAGGGTGTTGAAATTGGAACTGTACGAGGACACCTTGATTATCAGACGCTCGCGAAGTTGCCTGAGACCTACACCACGGGTGATGGTTGGAGGATGTTGCAACATGAATACAATCCAACGAATTATGATAACATACTGGATGGTCGTCGGATCTTGATTGTTGTTTACCCCGGAATTATTCGCAGATATATTTTGGCTCGTCACGACCATCTCACTGAGTTCAGCCTCCCAGCATACGTTGTGGTTCAGAAGGGACCTGAGGAGAATGAGGATCAGAAGGGACCCGAGGGAAATGAGGATCATCTCACTGGGTTCAGCCTCCCACCATACGTTGTGGTTCAGAAGGGACCCGAGGGAAATGAGGATCAGAAGGGACCTGAGGAGAATGAGGATCAGAAGGGACCCGAGGGAAATGAGGACAAATTCTAGTTGGAATTGGGTTGTCAGTTCACTTTTCATTTTGTATTGTTTTGTGTTCGATTCAATAGTCTTCTCTTTAGTTTTGCCTTTTCGCTTCTCGAACAATTCATCTACATTCTCGTATTCCATAGGCGACCACGCATTAACTGTACTCAATATATCTTAGACGCAGCATTGTAGGCACAAATACTACACGTATATTAGACGCATGGTGCGAATACTCCAAACGTCCGCACGCGCTCCACCATTTCCGCCTCCGGTCTGTCTTCTGCCCATCTTGCTATATCTTCGGCTTCCTCCCTATCTCTCTGTCGTTGTTCACGGCTAATTCTACTTCATATTCCTTTATTGCTTCTTATTTCAGCCTCTGACCCTCTCGGTCATCCACTCTCGCTTTTACTTGATCTAGAGCTTCTCCTTTACGGACTACCCATCCTTTCCGTCGTATAACAACTTCGTTCCCATGAATTCCTTAAGCTGCATCCAAAATGGGATGATAGTCTCATCGATGGCGCTGTGTGGGCTTTTGATAGTGAACCATATAATTCCTTGAATAGATGAGGTTCATCAATAGCTCGGGGAGCGGTCTCATATTGTCCACGGAATATCGCAAATTCCGGCCGGAGTCCGAGCTGTATGCCCTTCTCGATATAACCCTCTAGGCTCATGCATTAGATACTAATACCGTAGGAGACTCGGCCGTTACCTATCTTGGCATAATTACCTATTTAGTTCCAAGGTTAGGGCTGCCTACAATGTTCCAGGGTTATAGTTAGGTACCTAGGTAGCTATGTAGGCACCTACCTAGGTAAATAAACTTAACCCATCCATGGATAATAAGCAAGCCACTAAACTTTCAAAAATGAAAGACATAGGTACCTACCTAGAGGTACCTAGGTAGGTAGTAACTAGGTAATAATTACGATAGGATGATCCAAAGGTAGAGAACTACAGCCGTAGACGTATGTCCGTAGCCTTGCACTTTCATCTCACTGTACAGCGAATATCATGGCCACTTTACCAGAAAGGCAGCCTCTCGTTAAGGGCGGACATTCCCGAATGCCAGATAAGCTCCCCTCTACATTTGTTTCGTCGACGGTACCCTGTATATTTGACAATACCGTCATTCTTGCGGCAACCCACCCCACAGTCTCGACCGCAAATCCATCAGAGGACGGGTGGTTCATTTCAGATTTTTACGCCTTTAACTATCTCTTAAAAGGCTTGGGTATGCATCAGACATGGATAACCGCAGCTGACCCAAGAAAATTAGTGGAGAAGTATGGTCCATACCTCCATGGTAACCCGTATGAGGATCGAAAGGTCTGCCTTGATAAAGACATGCTAGACCAACAGCAAATTACCCCAGTCACCATAGTTCGCTCGGGTGAAATGATCGATCGGGTAATTTCAGAGGCAAAACGGGCGTCAGAATTAGCGAAACGGCATGAGGCGCCACTTCTACTACTCTTCTTTTGCCATGGGCTACCGAATCATCACTTATTGTTGAATAATGGAAATAGCCATAAGGGTCTCAGCATAATCAATCTTAAGGGCGTGCTTGAGCCAGGTGTGCGTGTGACTCTACTTAGCACCGCTTGTTATTCGGGGGGTGGATCACCACCCCCAAGCTCAACCACACCGCCATGACAGCTGCTAGCTGGGAAGACGATCCAACCACGGGAACTTCGAATGCCTGGTGTATATCCCAGAGCATTGGGCGAAGTTGCGGGTCCGTGTTTGTAAGCACCTTGTTGGAAACTTTGTCTAGTGCGACAAGTCCTCTTCTCGAAGAACCTGGTCTGGACACCAGCCTATCAGACCCACAGCAAAGTCTTCAACCAGATAACTCCAACAGCTTGCAGACTTTGAGCTATAATTCATTTTGCGATTCCGTTTGGAGTACATGCGAAGATCGCATAACACGGCTCTGGAGCTTCCAGAATTTCAGGTTTTCTGCCCAGGATGATGCCTGGGAATACTCGTGGACAGGAAGAACAGGAATCCCATTGTCCCACTTTAGAAACCGGTGGGATGGACTTACCTCCTACCCATATCAAGGGCCTAGTGATATCAAGGACCTTAGAAATCCACACCCCAAAAAACAATACATTTTTGGAGCAAGATCCGAACAAAACTGCATCAGCAAACCAGGTTATTGATGAAATGACTGGCCATATGGCTCATCGAAGACTAAAAGGAATGGCCAGAACTTTCCACCAAACCTGTCCTGGTGACTGGGATCGTGGTAAGGAGGTGGGCTTTGGAGGCACGCTCCGTGGATTTTACGAGCGTGACGAGTTCCAGGAAAAAGCGCCGATGTTTGAAGCGGCGATACGCTTTAGGTGGGAGGCAGCCCTTCTCGCAGACTACATTCTCGAGTTGTTTAACCTTCCTGCTCCTGGTAAGGAGATTTGCATCATGTGGAACCGGTTTTTGTGGCTTGAACATAAACTGGAGACAATGCCAATGCCCGAATTGGAGGCACGTTGGCGGAAAATGTACAACTCCCTTTCTGGTTATTTCAAGACTCCTTGCTTGGGAGAGCAGGGCCCACCTTTCTACCGACCACTACATTATTTGGTCGCGGCCTTTTTGGAAGCTGATAAACCAGAGGATGAGACAAGTGCTATAATTTCATCCATTGGGGATTTCATGAGCACAGTTCGGATGTTTCACCAGCAACGTCTGATTGAGGACCAAGAAGTACGTGGTAGAGGCCGCGAGTGGCTAAAATCCGTCGGTCGACGGGCTCGCGAGTCCCTCTCGCCGCGTAAAAGGAGACGCCACTCAACATCCGTGTCTTGCTAAAGTTTGCCCGGGCAAGGCTTAAGTGCTCCCTTGCTACCTTGCTACTTGAAGAGGGTCATTTGTATAGTATTTGTATATAAAGCTTGACAACTTTATCATTAACGTATCCTGGCCAGGGGTCAGAAATTAATTATTATTAACATTACTGCCTGAAGGTGCGTCATTAGTGGATTCGTATACATGTCAGATTATTAGTCTCTCTGTAGTTTAACTTCTTCAACAATCTATCAAGCTCACATTGCACCATGCACTTTCGACGTCCACAACGTGGACCTCTCCCTAACAATACACTATGGATTAGACATAGAGGCGACTAGATAACAGGCCTTATCTAGAAGTAATCGTACCGGGATACTTACCGTCCGAGGTTAAGACTTGAACGAATGTGTCCGTATCAGCCTGCGGGCCGAGCAAAGCGTAATCAGCCAGACGAGAGGTGTAAAGCTATGTATATCGCACGCCATTTCCTCGATGATAAAAGTCAAGAATCAAATTAGGTCTTTTATTTAAACTTTAACTCCAAATCCAAAAGATTAGAATGTGAATTCCTTTAAAATATGATAACAACGCTATGCTATGCAAACAAGGCTCGGAATTCAACCTTGGACATTTCTATAGCTTTACACTAGTCAATAATATCTAAAAATAAGAAAAGACACAGAAGGACACCAGCATCAAATATCCACACACTTATCCACTCACAAGAGGATCGGGCGCAAGATTGGTGGCTGTTATAGCAGCACCATCACCTGGCGTTACCGTGCCCTCGGAAGGACTGTCAATCTCTTTAGACGTATTCTTCTCTTCGTTCTCACTCTTGCTCGGATGCTTTGTACCCTTTTCACGCATCGCTCCACTTTCAAATGCTTCTTCGGGGAGAGGGCGAACATGAGGCTGGCAGATCCACCAAGGCCTTCCATATTCCGCAATCACTGCTTTAGATCCCTGCAAACTCTCATTGTGTTGTGCTTCAAACTTCTCGGGAGACGCCTCGTACTCCTGAAGTCCACCTTTGATGGCCTCCTCGAGGAGAACCAAGGTATGTTCAAAAGCGGCCATGTCTCCTGGTTTCGATGTAGCAAGAGCATCTCGAACGTTGGTGTGAGTTGCAACCATTGGCCGCAAGACTTGGAAAAGGTGGCCCTGCATGAACCCGAGGCTAGCAGAGTGACACTTCTTTCCCTTCTCGGCCTTGCTCCGCTTTTGCTTCTTCTTAAGCGGGCCATCCTGGTGGTCGTTCTCTTCGGCATCATTGGTTTTTGCAAACTCATCGACTGGGTCGGATGGAAGATAAAGCGGCTTCCTTTCTGGAACCGGCTGTTCGAGAACGTATTTATAGATAATATCCAGGTATCGTCGCAGGATGGCGTCGATTCGGTAACCGCCCTTTCCATCCCGACCGCGCCAGTATTCTCTTCCTTCAGTACCAGCTGGAGGTGGCTTGCTGAATATGGATGGGTCTGATAAATTTCCTTCCGCGCTCATCACGGCATCGGCCCCGGTCGCCTCGAGACAGGCTTCGATGTCACTGTAGTTAAGAATATTGCCATTGGCAAAAATCACCGTATCTGCAGGTAGGTTGTCTCGTAGATAGCGGATGTAGCCCCAGTCTGCGACACCAGTGTTGTGACCCTTCTGTTCCCGTCTGCGTCCATGCACAGTGATGATGCTGGCCCCAGCGGAGAGAATCATTTTAGCGTACTCCAGGGTCTTCTCCTTGGTCTCCTGGATACGGAATTTTACCGTGATAGGGATTGAGAGCTCAGTGTGCAACCGATGGACAAGTTTATAGATCAAGTCCCAGTCTTCTTGGAGGAAAGCTCCGTAGTGTCCCTTTTTCGCGATACCCTGTGGGCAGCCAAGGTTCAAGTCCACAGCGTCGCAGTGAGGTGCGACATGGCGGGCAGCCTCCAAGAACTCATCTGGATTATTTGTGCAAAATTGGACGAAAAGTGGCCGGTCAATTGCGGGATTTCCATCCAGAAACAATTCATCCTTGCTTCCGACGGTTTTGCGAGTAGGTTGGAAATGTTTGGCACGGACATTCTCTTGTTCGCCGAATAGACGAGCATGGAACATTGGGGTGTATGCGAGTAAAGGCTTCGGGTCGTTTGGTGGCATAAAGGATCGAGTGAGCATGCGCCACGCCTTTGGAAAACATTAGCGTTGGTCTGCAGATATTTTGTACTTGAAAGGCGAACTTACGAATTCAGATCTGTCGACCATTGGGGCAACGACATATTTTGGGCTGCCAATACTTTCATAAAACCTTCTTCCAAAGAGCTTCTCCTCAGCCTGAGGCGCAGCCGTGGAGGTCTGCTCAATGCTCCTCGGTGGGCTTGTTTCGGAGGCCATTTTTGAGAGATGGGACAGGGAAAAGTGCCGGGAAAATCGGCCCAGCAAAGGGCTGAGAGGCTTAAAGATACCTATGTTGACGCCTAGCAGAAAAAAAAAAGGTAGTTATAGGTCAACGATCGCCTCCAGTCGCACCATAATGGAGAAACAACTTTTGCGAAAAGCATCGTTATCTCATCCGGAATTACTATTCCCCGTCTTATCTTATCGTCGCGGGGATCCAATGGATCTGGAGATTCCAACCTTGGAAATTTGGAAGTTGCAAACGCGTTGAACTCGTGGTCTGTGAGATTGACCTTTGCATCTGATGTTTATAAGGTTACCTTTCCATATTCCTTTTCTCTTATCCCTTTTAAGAGCTGATTGATCAACCTCAACAGCCCATGTTTGATTACATAATCTGATATGGATGCCCCGGCGGTGGCCAGAAACTAACCCAGTAAGTCATGGAGTCCTGCGATGACAATCAGGGCTCGAAAAAGAAAATCTGATGCATATGTAATATTGTGTGAGAAGGGACTGATATTGTGAAGCTAATGTGTTGAGGTCCGGAATTTGATATAGTTCTTGAACACTCACTACTATCATCTCTCAACTGTTAACGATGGACGCGTCAAACGGACCAGGAGGTAAGTCCCGGTCCACCCAATCTTTTGTCTAAGCAATTTTAACTGTGCGTTAGCCCCTTTGAATCTTTGCTTATCTGAACGTGGGCTATATGCTGCCCACGTGAGCGGCAAGGGCCTGGTTGTTCACTCCAATGTAGCCTCGGAAAACAAGGAGGTACAGATCGCAAGGATCAAAGAGATCCCACTTAAAACACTGAAATACTTCAACGCGGAAAGTTCCCATGGTTCATCAGATGATGAGGTCGTCTCCCGGCAGCGGCTCCTGTCCGCAAACGACAGCCGAATTTCGGTCTGGCAGCTCACTCCGCTTGAAACATTCGCCGAGATTGAAAGCATTGAGCCGGGGGCATTAGCTGTCGATTTTGGCGCCAACGAGAATGAAGTTCTTGTGTTTCATGCGTGGCACACTAAACTCAGTGTCCACTCATTAGAGACCGGGCGCAGCTCAGTCATTAAGACACCAAAGTTTGCCCATCATCTTGGCTTTGGATATCGGCCAAAAACCAGGCAACTCGCCATTCTACTCAAACCGGAGACTTCGGACCTACTGACCGTCCACGAGCCCCGGTCCTACGAGCTCGTCAACAAGACCGTGCTTCCAACAATTGACGCACAAGGGTTGAAATGGAGCCCAGATGGGAAATGGATTGCCATCTGGGATGTCGCTAGTGCAGGCACAAAGGTTCTGATATTCACAGCGGACGGTCAACTTTTCAGGACATATTCTGGACCATCTGGGGTAGATGATTCCTTCGACCTCGGAGTGAAACAAATTGAATGGAGCCCTGCTCCCGAGCAGGGCACTTCCCAAATATTGGCTGTGGGAAAGGTTAATGGGAACGTTGATTTGCTCCGAACACGCACTGTGAGTTGTCTTCTCAGTATGTGCGGCATTATTTACTAATTCTATTCTGGTAGTTCTCTTCCGCAACCACACTTTCACATATCTTCCAAACAGACCAGCAATGTTCCCATATTTGGCGCGAGCGATACGCTAGTGCCGCAGGAGACGCCGAATATGTCGAAACATCCTCCTCGTCTGCATTGAGCATGAGCCCCGAGTCCTTAGGGCCACCACGGGGCGTCTTGACAATGACCTTCAGCCCAGACGGTCACCTCCTTGCGACCGTTGACACTGCACGGCAGAATGTCGTTTGGATTTGGTCACTAGAGGGTACCCCAACACTTGCATCGGCTCTAGTTCACGAGCAACCCGTTCGACAGATTGTTTGGCATCCTTCATCGCCACAACTTTTGATTAACACCATCACGAATACATTGCCTGCTATTCGATGGTGGTCCCCACATGATCACCCATTGATTGCTCGCGTTCCTATTCAGAGGAGCGATAATGGAAAATATGATGTGAGATGGGTCGCAGGGTCAAATGTGGACTCGCCGTTCTGGTTTAGCTCGCCGGAGCAACATGTTATTGGATATTTGTCGACTTGTGAAGGTGCTGTTGAATTTGAGATTCTGAACTCAGTGACCAGCAAGAGTTTGTCTTGATTGAGATGACGTGCAAGTAAATGCATACATGTATTTTTCTAACAAAAAGAACAAGGACCCAAATGAGTCCAGTCAGATAAATGACTCTGATTAGTGGGATGAACTGGCTATCGCACTTGATGTACGGAATTTCACATTCGAAGGCCACTTAGATCTGGGATTGAGCAAATATATTAAGATAATACTAAGGCGACAAGTTTGTTCTACTGGCACAACGGCGTAGATATGCAGATAATCTGAGATCATGAGCCCCTTCGGTCGCTGGAGAAATTAATGACCACCCTACACGGTGCAACGTCGTCGTCTTCTCTACTAATCCATGCCCATGGAGCCTTTCCTGCTATGTATTCCATTGGCCTGCTTTTATTGTTGTGTATGCTTGTACCTATATATATTATAACCGAGTGTCCGCTTGTTGACAAAACCCTGAAGTAGTACGTAGCTTCGGATTTAATGCAATGCAATGCAATGCAACCTTAGTGCCTTAGTTTAGCCTAATGCTGGCCTAGTGTTGGCCTTAATCCTGACTGCCTTTAGATCCTAGGATACGGTGTTTTGTAAAGCTTTCGGCACGAACCCAACATCTTTAACTACTACTACTACTACTACTACTACTACTACTACTACTACCTCGCTCTATTGGATATTCAGCTGGCCTATATAATTGTAATTCAGGTATCTTGATTTTCTACCATACCAAATTAACTCATTAAGGCACCATTGTATATTTTAAATTCGAAAGTAACCCTGGCCGCTATTTCCCTGTGTATACATAGTTCATAGTTCATATTTCTCTTTTCCCCCTTCTTTACTCACAGTTGTTATTCCGTTAGATTATATTTTGCTTTCCTTCGAATCACATATTATGTCTTCATGTAGCCAAACGCTGCTAATTAGTTAGTTCTTAAGTGATTACAAAATTCTCCTACTCACTGTCGTTTATCCTTCTGCGGCAACATATGGGTAGGTTATGCACCAAGTTATGATTACAAGCAACTAAAAGACAAACACTCTTATAATCACGTTGAAGTTACACAAAATAACTAAAGAAAAAGACAAAAAGATGACTCCGATAGGGGGAATCGAACCCCCGGCTGCCGTGTGAGAGACGGCGATGTTAGCCACTACACCATATCGGATGGTTGAAATTCTTTCAGCAAATTACGTTATTAGGCCTAGCCCTAGCCTTTTCGGTCCACCGTCATGTCATGTCATAGGGCCCTCCTGCGTGGTTCTATAAAGTCCTCCCCATCGCCCCTTCAACTTTCTGGCTCTCCTGCTCCTCCTCCTCCCCCATGAGCGCCTTGCGGAGGAGGCATTTTTGCCATTGATCCGGTTCACCGAGCTCCGCCACCCCCGCTATCGCCGGCATGAACCAGCCAGTCCTTTGCGGTCCTTCGAGCCCTGGAGCGCAATCTGCGCTGCTTCCTTCGCCCTGCCCCGTTCCCTCTCAGCCCTCGCCATTACGCTCGAAAAGATGAGGCATTTTTGCCCTTGGTCCGTTATATAACATGTTAGTCGGCCGATCCGTCGTCGATCCATTGCGCCCTTTGTTTCACTCGCCCTAAACCCTCTGTGGATAATCACCTATGTGCAGCGGGTCCGTGAATCTGCCTTAGGGCTGAGTACGAGAATGAGAGCCTTGTGGCTGATGGTGTCAATCAACTTCGGACCGAGGGGAATGTTGGTTAAAATACATCAATTGCATATTCGACCGGACGCTCCTCCCTACAATTTACGCAAGCCAACGATATAAACGTCTGCGAGAGCTAGATAATATGATCAACCCCTCCTTTCCCTGCTCTTCATGATCTGAAGCTTCCATAGCGGCCATGTTGAGGCGCTTCAATGATCTCTGAAATCGCTCGCCGACTTCCCTAGACCGTTTGCACGCCTCCATTCCCCTCGGTCCTTCGTACCATCGTTCCATTTTCAGAGTGGAACTCAGCTCGCCAAGTACGCTTTGTCCTTGACGACCCCTTTGACGTGGTCATCCATTGGCAGACACGCTGAGATAGACGGATAAGACAACAGGGGGTGAATCCGTATGCACGTACCGAATTGCTCTCTGTTGGCGACTGTTCGTTAGATAATTTGGTTGAAAAAACTAAACTTCGCTTACCTTGGACCATATCAGCAAGATGCGTTTGATTATCGAAAGATGCCACCTGTTCGAGTAATGAGAGTATAGTCTCCCATTTTTTGTCCACCCACTACATTCATAGCAGTATCAAATCCTTGAGTATTTGAGTGGCATATCTCAACCTTGGAAGGTTTGATGGGTGCTCATATTTATTCACTCTGCTTCCCCGCATCATTGTCCTTAACACCCAACAGATAACAACAAATTCCATTTATCCACAGAGATTTCATTGACTTGAATTAGACAGTTTAGTGGAAAATGAGTGTCCTACGCTGGTTTATTGGCCGTTTCTGCATAGCAATCACTCGGGTAGTTACCGACCTTTTTCTTTATCACCTGGACCATTCGTACCCGCAAAATGTTGACTTTTGAACAGCAGCATGGCGACCTTCCAGCCAGTTCATTTTGTGCCGAAAAACCGCCAGGGGGAAATCTTGGCTTTAACTGTGACACAGATCCTTGCTGTGCCGCACAGTCAAAATTCGGGGGCAAACCATTGGTGTATCTACCTATCGGTATCTCCCAAGAGATCTGTCCAATTTGATTGTCAGCCAAGCTACAGCGCCCCAAGCTCTATTCTCCAAGGCGGTTCTAAAGCCCACCTTATTGTTTCAGAGTTGACGTGTAAGGTACCCGATGATGCCCAAGCAGAGTTCATCATCGATGTGATACCCGGGCTTTCAGTCTCGCGAATTTACAATTTGCTCATTGGAAATGGCCGCCACAAGTACGAATTCGATGCAAATGGAGTGTGGTGCAGATTCTGGACTCTTGGTCAAATCGATCTTTTACATCAAGTCCAATTCGCCACGAACATGGATCAAATCACGGCAGCAAGATCCGCCATACGGAAACTATGGCCGGAGCAGACGCACCTTGCTCTTGACCAGGGGGCATATTATCCGTAAGGCTTAAGTGTATTATATTTGTGAGGCTGGGCTTTTAAGCAGTCCGACTAGCTGTACGGAAAATGCATGGCTGCGCAACTGAATATTCCTATTCTATTTATGCTGTAGGTCTACCCTCCCCCTTGGATTTCTTCACTTCTGGGGTCCTCAATATTGAAGATGCGACTAAATTCTTGCTTCCTACCAATGAAACAAGTGCACCTCCTGATGTTATAGACATTTCCAATTTCTGGTACAATATAGACCGCTAGTTTGTCTATATCGCCGTAGTAGAGTTTACGATGTGGGTGCCCACCTACAGATTTGCTTATCCTACACGGTTATTTTCTTTTCCTTCATTTTCTTTGTCTAATTATCCTAATAGAAATGGCTCCGAGGACGATAGGAAAAGGAGGGTGCATACTCCATAGTAGAATAAAGGATCGGAGAACTAATCAAAGCCCGTGGAATTATGATCTTCGTGCCCGGAAATGCTACGGCATCTATTTTCTTTCGTTCCTTTCTTTTCCTTTCTTCCTTTTGATGGGGGACCCAATAACCGAAGGGATATGTCTTTGTTGTGTCAGATTAGGTGCCCGAGAGACATTCTTTATGAACACTCTTTAGTCAAAGAGACGATGAAACGAGGCTTAGACGAAACGATCCACTTTGCAGTTCTGGGTATATATTTTTGAAAATACCGCTGGATGTCTTTGTTCTTATTCAATTGCCTCTGGCTAGGCGCCACTCTCGTTGTGTTTATGGATCATTCGCCGGGTCTCGAAGTCTATTCTTTTAGGATAACATTCTTTCATTTTCCATCAGGAAGAAGGGGATAATTTATTGAAAAGGCCCGAGTCCGCACTTATAGAAACATCAGGTCTCAACTGCTCCAAGGCATCTACAATTCCCCTGTCCAGCCACCATGTCCGGGCGGCTAGCCAACTACCCCTGGCCAGTGAACTTTTATTATGGAAAATTCGCAAAACATAGTGAGGATCCTCCACGAAAGTTCGTGTCCAAAAAACAAAGAAAGGAAGTTCTCAACCGTCAAGTAAAGCCAGCTGCAGATGTGGCCAGAATTCTGGATGAGGCGCAAGTTCCCAATCTTCTTTGGGGCACGATGGCCGCCTGGTTAATTGGCGACTGGAGACCTTATAATGAAGTAAGTGAGTCCTTATGTCTTGTTCTCGGATCAAAGTCTAACTCTCTAGGATATTCAATTCTTGGTTCTTGATCATCTGATTCAGACGGCCTCTGATGCCTTATCCGCTGCTGGAATCGCACCTTGCACAGACCCTGAATGCGCGGTCGTAAGAACGGTGCACAATGATTGGCTTGTTCCTCCGGTGCATTTTCATGTCAAGGCTCTATATCCCGAACACGACGTGCTACGGCTGTACTCCAAATCGACCTATCTTTGGTGGCTTCCAGACTTTGGGACATCCGCCCCTGCTGCAGACGATCCCCACTTGATACTTTCCAATGATTCTCGACACCCACCATATGTATTCAACGGAATGTCAGGTCCGTGGACTGAGGTTTATCCAGTTAAGGTTCTCACCCGAAGCTCTTTCACTGAGGCGGCCTTGTGGTTGTTGTTTCGAGATTTTGAGCATGCCAATGGTTTGTATTTTCAGTGGCTCGACTTGATAATTGTAGCAAAAACGCACCCGGAAGGAATAACCCTCCCCCCTAGGTTCCAAGCTATGTGGACAGAATTTACTATCCCCGAAGAACAGCGTACGCGAAGAAGATGGGAACCAGTGGTCGAACTTATGGAAGAAATGAGGGCTAACAACGAAGTGCCGCCTCCACCTCCCATTAATTGGTTTGGGTCAGTGAAGATAGCTGAACAAGCTGGCCGTTGGTTCTGAGATGGTTTAATTTGCTTTCATTTTTGGTTTTGCTTGTTTTGCTTCATGTTGACTTGTTTTGTTTCATGTTGACTTGTTTTGCTTCATGTTGTCTTGTTTGGCTTTCATGTTGTCTTGTTTTTGACTTGCTTTTGTACCTCTCTTTGATTTTCTTTGTTAGGGTTGTTTGAAACATTAGTCCTGACTCGCCCTTGCAAAAGGACATCGCTTTTTTTGGGGGCGGGGAACGAAAGGGAAAAGAAATAAAAATAAAAATAAAATAAAAAATAAAAAATAAAAAATCGGTCTCCGGGCCAAAACCAATATCTTGAAATATTGAAATAAATAATTGTACAGTCCCGGAAACAAAGAGAATCCCGCTTGGATCAATGTACTGAGATTCAGAAAGTGAGGCAAACCCCTACCTTCCTAGCTTTCTCATACTACAGTAAAAATAGGTCAGTTTCTTTGAGAAGTAGGAGGTGAGGTCTCGGGGCATTGAAACTTACCACCTTAACACTGTCTTACAATATGGTGATTGTAAGCAGGTAAACAGTATCTAGCTAGTATGTTTATATAAACCCAGTATCCGATCCCAGGTATCCCCCATTCAGAGTCAATAATGGCTATTACACCCGATACCCCAGAGAACGCTGCCAGGGAAACCTTACGCTGCCTTCGGAGCGTTGCAGAGTTCCAACAAATTCGATTACTTGTGGCCGGTGAACTCGCCGTTAGGAGGTATCTCCCTGGTCATCCGGTACAGGAGGTATGCCTTTTTTTGTTATCCGTGAATGGGGAAATATAAGAAATCCAAAGGAGAAACTAATTTGATTCTCGTGATAGAAAGAGAAAGTTGAATTTCTCGTCTTTCCTGGGGATGGGTTCGACCATCGGGTGGACGAGCTTCCCTCCGGGGTTTCGGACCTGCTGAAACTGAAACTACTGTCCATGGACCCAGAAAATTTTCAGCAACGACTTGGCTTCCTCGAATTCAAAGGTAGGCCCATTCGCTTCATACCAAAGGAAATAGTGAGTGAACAATATCATTGCCATTATGTTCTATTTACGTGCTGACCTATCAAAGTTACCCTACGTTCCGCAAGGAACACAAACCATTGCGGAGACCAGCATTGGTGATCTACCGTATACCACCGCTGTAGATACGCTTATTTACATGGTTATCAGTTACTCCATCCATTTGGGAAGTCAACCGCCAGATATATATGTTACAACAGTCACGGGTTTCATCCAAATCCTCCAATCACAGGGACCGATCATTTTCTCGCCCCAGCAGGAGGAATGTTTGGCTAGCTCATTAGACTGGCTTGCGAGCAATGGTATCTGGGGCAGAGAGTGGTGGAGGCAGCGTCTTCGCCTTCCCTGAAAGGAAAGGCGAGACCAGATCAGAATAGAATGTATCGATGGCATTTCGAGTCAATTCAAATTGGAACCCAATTCACAGTCTTTTTGCGTGCTTTAAAGGGAATGATTAGACGCAGCGGAGAGCAGGTATGAGCAAATCAGCTTCGTCTACATGATTTCGCCGAAAAAGAGGCTCATTGACATACAGGTGGCGGTCGTAGAACTTGATAAGAATGACAAAAAGTGCTTACGTTCAGTGGAAAGATTATTGCTTGAAACACAAAAGAAGCTCGCTTTAAAAATAACGCGAAGCCTCATGATACCATTTAACGCGCAAAATTCCTACAGGCACTCGCGGACAGGAACGTCAAACCTAACATGAATTAGATCTCTCATTCAAACAGGCAGAAAACTATTCCCCATAAAAGAAAATTACCGTTGAGTCCAGGCCACTATGGTTATGCTTTGGTTGATTAGAGCAGGGAGAAAGATGGAAACAAATACGTCTTAGTTGATTTAGGGCAAGACTGACGACTGTAATTGAGATAAATATATAATATAATAATACTATTTTTACATCCATAGTTGTTATAACTTTGGCGATAGTTCCCATTCTTAGTCTCTCAATAGGACATATAGGGTATGTGTGTAAGAAGATGTATGATATATAGTCACACCTAACAGAGAAGGGGAAAGTGTTCTTGACCTCTCCTTCTTGTTTGTCACTTTTCATCTCTTCACCTCCCCTCTTCACCTCTTATCTTCTCGTCTTCTCTTCGTAGTCTCACATCTTCCACGGGTGCTCTACCAGCTTATCTTGCAATCCACTTGCTCAGCACTGTTCTCTACCTTGATCTCTCCAACCTTATCCTTTCTTTCTCTCATTCCCCATTCCGAGGCACTGCCCTTCGCAAGAAAACATGCAGTCCTCCCAACAATGTGTCGGTAAGTCTGTGTCGAATTTGTCAATTTGGTTCTATTCTCTAATCCAACACAATGCCCAGCGTGGCCGAACGCGGATCCTGTGTTGACACAAGAACTCTTGGACTTGTTGCAACAAGCCATGCAGTACCATCAGCTCAAGAAAGGTACAAATGAAGGTATGTCTGCTCTTAAATTAATATCTTCGAGCTAACCATAGAGCTAATATTGGCCCAGTCACGAAGTCCGTGAGCCGAGGCACATCCGAAATCGTCGTTATGGCTGCCGACACTGTTCCTCTCGCGATAGTGATGCATCTTCCGTTGCTTTGCGAAGACAGACACGTCCCATATGTGTTTGTGCCTAATAAGACCGCGATTGGTCGAGCATGCGGTTCAGCCCGGCCGGTTATCGCGGCCACCATTACCTCGAACGATGCTAGTGACCTGGCTCCACAGATCCAGTGGATTAGGGACAAGGTGGAGCGACTTGGACTTTGAGAAATTTCTATCAAATGGATAAATGCGGGAGGATCTTTGACTACTGTGCTCTGGAAACTTTTTGCATCTTGCGTTGAGGCTTGCGCTGAGGCTCGTGTCGAGATGGCTACTGGTCCATCTCCTTAAGCCACCTGTGATTTCCTTTTCTTGCTTATTGCCTTTCAAATAAACCGGATTGAATACAGTCTTCCATCTATTATCGGTGATAATTTCACTCTTTCGGGACAAACCGTAGACCATATCTTGTTATGATGGATGGCTTGAATCGAGATACGCCCCCATATCACTCCCTGTGGAACACGTACCCCACAAAGAGCCGCATGAGAGACAGGGATTTCGAGGAGAAGCTGCGACTTGTGCAATATGGATATGGAAGCAGCCAGTTTTACTGTAGACACAGATGGGGTGTTTACGGAATATCGTTTTGATTGCACTATAATGTAAAATGTAAACAGGCAATGAATACATATGTAGATAGGATGGTGAAGTGAACATGTGCCCGTCACACGAGAAAAGCGAAAAGGCACCAGGCACAGCTACAGTTAATGCAGCGTACCAAAAGCCCATCCGCGTTGAATGTCTGATTTGCAGCAACCAGGGAAATACCAAGTCCTCTCTGCGTCAAGCCCACTCAAATACAAATATTTAGTTCCCATTCGCACACGTAACAACCACTGTGCGACAGACATGCGGACGACGCAAAACAACGTGGGTGAGAGCAGCTGTTTGATAGCTTAGACCCTGGTTGTTCTCCACTTTGGGGTGCAATACGCTCGCTGACTTCACTATCAAGATCTGGAAGAAGGCCATAGAGCCACATTGCTTCCTCGAGCGAAGCATCCAGTTCCGCACACACGGAATTCGAGGCAACAGCCAGCACGGTGCCATCATGATCATACATATACCAGCCGCCATTCCTAACGCCAACGGTACTCATTGGGTATTGTTCAGCCATTTCATTGAGCTCTCGGCGACTTTCCAGCATACCGATTGATTCGGGGATCGGTACGATGTATCGGGCCGGCGGCATTGCGAAAGTATTTACAAGGAGTAAATTCATGGAGAACAACCTGGTCGGTGGTATGAACAGTACGTGAATCGTAAAATAGTACGTTCGGGAGTGGAGGATCTCAAGAGGAGTGGATAATGTCCAGGCGTATTGGGGGGGGCAGAGGTCTCACGCGTTATTGATGTTGTACATCGTACATCACATGTCGCACAATGCATAGTAATGGGGGATGATTTTCCAGTAAACGTCAAAATCGAAAGGTAACCCTTGTCTGACTGCTCAGACTGCTGCTGCTGGAAGCTCGATATCGACAATCCACGGTGGTTGTATCAAAAGATCCTGGGAGCCCTCCATGGCGGCGTTGATAAAAAGTGTCTCCGAGCCTCGTTTCAGCGGATGCGGATCCCCAGAGCAATGACTTGTGAGAAAGCAATCTGTGGGATTTCCATCACGCTTGATCATGGATAGTGTGGATATGAGAACACAACTGTTCGTTATAATAAAGCCCCATTTTGTAAGTGAAACGAGTGGATACTTTCATCTAGGAAAGTGATACCCGTTTCTTTCTCCTCATCAAATAACTCTCGAGCTTCTCCGTAGTTGCCATAAAATTTCTGAATTAGTTGAGGATCCAAGGGTTGGGATTCTGCCGCTTTTCTCTGGAAGATTGGGGTGTCCATAGTCAAGTCATGGTTGCCGGCGATCACAAGTTCAAGAGGAGAATAGACGGCTCGTAAGAAGCGAATCGAGGCTTTGTACTCATCAATTTGTGACTCTGGTAGTGATATGGAGTACATTTTTTTTGTGGTCAAGTCGATGAGTCGAATGTATTCCATAGTGACCGCATTGTCTATGGATCATCCATAGATATAAGGTAAAGTGCCTCAGGCCGGATAGTATGGGGTAATGTTGGGTGCCTGGATGCCTGAGGCATATGGACCCACATGGGACAGATCCAGTTAGCTTGTCTCTCTCTTCTCTCTCTCCGTCCACTTCATACATCACGAATCCAACTGTGTTGTTTCTCCATAAGCATCCCTTCGTAGATTCTAAATATACACAAATTGAGCAAAAATAAGCAGCGAATACCAGTTCAGTAGAGGTTTGTATTCAAAGGTAAACCCACACACCCACACACCCACACACCCACAACGCCACTCCCAGGTTTATACCATATGAAGCGGGGTGTACGTGGGGAGACGTTATAAGTAAATGATGTATATAGCGATGATGCTAGTCGAGTGACAACTAAACCCAGAGTCTCAGTTTGATCAAGGTAGATTCAAAATAACGAAAGACCGCTAGAAAGATATGCCGAAGCCTTCTACCTCGCCACAACCTAACACTCTAAATTTGGCGGCAGCGTTTCAGGCTGAAGGATACCTATTCTGATTGATTAATATCGATGGTGCATATTCAAGAACCTTTTTTACCTTCAAAATCTTTGCAGGAAAATCAATGTTTACATCAGAAACCCATTGAGATAGGACTTGGACAACAAATAGCAACAGCCACATATCGTCGACATCAGATCAGAAAAAATGTCGTCAAAGCCCTTCGTTCTATTTTTCAACCCAGTGCAACATGCCATACCCTTCTTCCAAAAGCTGCAAGAGGTCGCGCACACGGAGGTTGTCACAAGCAAAAGCAGGAAGGAGTTTTTCAAGGATATCACGGACAAGTACAAGAATATCTTTGCCGTTTACCGGACATCTGCTAGCGGTACTGTGAGTATTCAATTACCTCTCAACAGTCTTTGTCCATCTCTAGTTGAGACACTGGTTGAAGGATATCACGGTCAACGTTAACATAGGATCTAATGCAGGTAGCCGGAAAATTTGATGCTGAGTTAATCGAGCGTTTGCCTCGAAGCTGCAAATATATATGCCATACTGGTGCCGGTATGCAAACGCACAGCTCCTACTAATTTGGAGATCTTCCACTTACTTGTCATCGTATAGGATATGACCCGATCGACACGAGTGCGTGCGCCAAAAGGGGCATCATAGTCACCAACGCTCCGGATCCTGTAACCGATGCGACCGCCGACTTGGCCATCTTCCTCATGTTGGGTTCCTTACGACACCTAAATCCATCTATGTCCTCTCTGCGTGCAGGGAATTTCAAGAAGGGGGTTGAATTCGGCCACGACCCCCAGGGCAAGACCCTGGGTATCCTTGGAATGGGGCGCATCGGCCGTGCTATCAAACACCGCTGCGATTCCTTCGGTCTCAAGACCGTCTACCACAACCGTAACCCTCTCCAGTTTGGACAGAATGCTGGGGCTGAGTACATATCATTCAGGAAGTTGCTTGCGGAGAGCGACATCATCAGTGTTAATGTACCTCTGAACGCCCACACGAAGCACTTGATTGGTGCAGCGGAGATCGCTCTGATGAAGCCTGGTGTTGTTCTCATCAACACAGCACGAGGTGCCATCATTGACGAGGCTGCCATGGCCGATGCGCTGGAAAGCAACCATATTGCCGCCGTGGGCTTGGACGTTTATGAGCGGGAGCCCGAAATCAATGAGAAGCTCATGAAGCAAGAGCGTGCCCTGATGGTTCCACACATGGGGACTCATACCACGGAGACACTGGGTAAGATGGAAAAATGGGCAATGGCGAACGTGCGGCGTGCGATTCTTGGTGAGCCGCTCCTGTCGCCTGTTCCGGAGCACCAGTCGCTGGTCAACAGTAAGACAGATTAAAGCCTGGATATAGTGGTTCTTGGTATATAAACAAATGCAATCAATGGCGTAATATTAAATAAGGTATCTTTTATTGCCGAACGACTTGAGAATTACTGAAGTCCCAAAAAGATCTCAGTCATTAGTAAAATATGTCTTGTAGTGCGCCGTGCTCTACTCATTTGATGACACCAAATTCATGATATAACTAACTATAAACCCCAGCAGAGAATCTTAGAACAAGGCCATGCTTAAGACCACATTGCCTATTTTGGTCTGGTGTTCTATTTTGGGATAATTACTAGGTAGTCACCAACATGTTTTGATGCAGATCTGGTTTGGTCTCTCACCTACCATACACAGGATTATAAGGCGCTATCTACATATCAGCTGACACTAGGAACATTGAAGTTATTAGTGCATATAAGTCAAATTGAGGGGTGAAGCCGATAGCATTTGAGCAGATTATCCCTGGGCAACTATTTGTTGTGCGGTTGAACTATCAGCCGATGCATTGAAGCGCACTCTCATCCCGAGGGTGTGAAGACCAACTCGTAACAATGACTACTTGGCATTTGGAGATTAACGACGCTGTTCATAAAAGGTCTCATTCTTCTCATTTGCAGCAAGCCCAGTCTATTATCCATATAGTTTACATTCAAGATTCAAGCAAATCCATACTTATCGCTCGCCCCCTCTCAGCCCTAAAAATGGTCAAAATCGCTCTACTCGGTGCCGCTGGTCAGATAGGCACCCCACTCAGTCTCCTGTGCAAAGCAGTATGTCCTCCCAACAAATTAACCTTGGAAGTTATCACACCCGAGGCTAAGTGTCTAACCAATGGAAGAGTGATCTATTTGACGAAATCTCACTCTATGATATTATTCATGTACCCGGCATTGCCACCGATTTGAACCATATCGACACCAGGGCCAGGGTCAGTGGCCACCTTCCCGAGGACTCCGGTCTTGAGAAGGCCCTCAATGGCGCAGATGTTGTCGTAGTAACCGCCGGTATCGCTCGCAAGCCTGGTATGACCAGGGATGGTAAGCAATGCCTTCATGTAGTGCTTGATCAACGTAAATTACTGACCATGATTACTTAGATTTGTTCAGAGTGAATATTACCCACCAACTGTCGGAGTGCTATAAAAAGGGGAATGTGTGGGAAGTCAAGTGCTAACTGCAACCCAGACCAACGCCAGCATCATTCAAGACATCTTCACTGAGATCGCGGCCACATGCCCACAAGCGATGTGTTGTGTTGTTACGAATCCGGTCAACTCGACTTTGCCAGTGGCCACTGAGGTACTGAAGAAAGCCGGTGTTTTTAATCCCACCCATATCTTCGGTGTGACAACCTTGGATGTTGTTCGTGCCTCTACATTTGCTGCCCACGCCTTGGGCGACAATGTTGATCCCAAGGACTTCAAGGTCCCGGTCATTGGTGGTCACAGCGGTGCTACCATTCTTCCCCTGTACAGTCAGGCTCAGCCTCCAGTCAACTTGGATGATGAAACTCTGGCAAATGTGATTAATCGTAAGTTTACCATGATCCGAGCGGCAAAAGTTACTTTACCAACCATACCAACAGGTGTTCAATTTGGTGGCGACGAAATTGTCAAGAGCAAGCAGGGGGCTGGAAGCGCCACGACGTGCATGGCCTACGCTGGTTTCCGCTTCGTCAAGGCTCTTCTTGCAGGTAAAAGGGGAGAGTCTATTACCGAGGAAGCCTTTGTCTACCTGCCGGGGATTCCTGGAGGCAAGGAGATTTCCGCTGATCTTGGAGTTGACTACTTCGCTGTCAAGATCCAGCTTGGAAAGGCGGGTGCTATGAAGGCCTTACCTATTGGCAAAATATCTGAACATGAGACTAAATTGCTCGAGGTGGCTCTCAGGGACCTCAAGGCAAATATCGCTACGAGCCTGTCTTTCATGGTATAGTCGCTTTCAATCAGCCTACAGTATTAGGAACCTGAAAGTGGATTGATGTACCTAAGGTCTCACGTCTAAGGTGTTTATATGTGACAGAAATATGTGATCAATGTTGTATCTAGTCATGGGTTCTATGGGGCTCGCAAATAGTAATAACGAAATATATTCACCGATATAGAATAGGGAAGATTTCGGAGACGAGGTGAGGATGCTCACAAATGAGAGTGAATAGACCGATATTTCAGACTGTTTAATCAAACCCACCACTATCCTTTCAGAAAATAAAAGCAATCGGCGAGGATAAAGCGGTGGCATGTTAGTCCCCACCACAGTATTCACACCCAAGAGCCCAGCCACGTAGGCAATGTCCTAAGCTTTGGACTCGGTCCAAGTGCCCGCTTGCTCTCTGCAACAGCATGGATTAATTCACTTGCAAAGCCTTGGCGACCAGCATCCCCGGATGACCCCGATCTAAGAGCATATTCCTCCGACAAGACTCGATGAACCTCCCATCTTGCATCCTCTTGTCCCTCGGGGGACTCAACAATGTCTTCTTTCTGAAGCTCCCACCCTGCCTTTTGCGCCACCGCACAAATCATGGGTGGGGATATAATGGATTGAACATTATCATCCCGGTCCAAGGTGTGGTCTCTAGAGTTGAACTCAGCCTGTGAGATTGCTGCTAGCAGATGTGGCAGAGCGGCGATATCGCCGCGGACATCGAGGGAGTACTCCGAAATGAGAAGGTGTTTCGTTCTTCCGCGGAGAGCTGCCAGCATTGGCAGCAACGCGCTGGCAGATGGCAGGTACCAAACCGAATGCACAAACATAGCATAGTCATAGACTTGCTCTGAAACGCTTGAATCGAGGAACTCTTCCAGGGTTGATTGATAGAATGTCATTCGGTCACCGATGGGATTCTGCTTTAGTTTGTCCTGTGTTTCTCCTAGAGTCATAGGTGCGCCTGGTGGGATTATCAGCTCGACTCTTGTACCATTGATTCAAATTAATCTAACCGTAGTCCAATGGTGCCGGGTCAATTCCTGTGACATGGCCCTGGTCGCCCACCATATAGGCCGCCACCAAGGTGAAATCTCCTTGTCCGCAACCAATCTCGAGGATCTTTGAGCCCGGGGGATATTCCATTTGTTCAAAAGGTCGAGCCTATGTTGAATTTGAGGTTTCGATGACCCACCATCGGAAAGCTTCGCGATGTTGATCAGGTCTGGAGACATTGCTGCTGGTTGTACAATGTAGAAAGCTGGAGACTATGAAGGATTATATGTGTGTGCCCACCTGCTTGGCCGCCACCTTCTCCTCCACTCCGTATGTTGTACTCCGTAGGTTGCAATTGAGTGACATTTTAAATGAGTCACATTATAAATTAAGGCTTTCAGTAACAACTGAGTCAGACACCATGTCGCATTTGTCTTAGTGCCGGGATAAACCCGGAGGTACCGGGGACCACCCATGGACGACAGGGGTTCGATATTGGGGCGGAGGTTAGAATGAAAAGAAGTAAACAGATAATTGCAGCAGAGTCAAGAGGAAAGAGAGAAGAAAAGGGGAACCCAGAGCAGGGAAACACCCTTATAAGGTGTAAAAGTTGATACCACCTGAACGTAGAGACTGACACTATATAGCAGAGAGTATCAAGGTTAGCTTGCCCCCTTCAATACACATCCTTTTGACAGATACGGTATGTTGTATTGAGTTTATGATCGAAGCCTCTAAGATCATATCACTTCTCGATCGGACAATGATGTTGTGATTCTCTAAAGGCCTAGAAAAACGACTCCGTTCTATAGCTTTCCTCGATTCAAGAATCGCACAGGGAGATCAACATGCCGCGCCCGCAGATATTCCGCCACATTCTTCCCCAGGAAATCCACCGTGGTGGTCACACCGACACCTCGGTCCAGTAGATTGCGAAACAGGAAATGCACCGCATGAAGGCTAGGCAACTCAAAGCGCTCAATTGATAACTTCTGGTTCTCGTGCCCAATATCACCCAACAGATCTTGCGCCTTGTCAACAGACAGCAAAGTCCGCAGCCATTGGTACTCGTCACGGTGACGCACCCAGAAGCCGCAGTTAGCGTCAGCACCTTTGTCCCCAGAGCGTCCATGAACGATCCAGCCTAGAGGGCCACGAGTCGTCGGCCCAAAGTCGCGGATAAGGTTGACGGGTCCGTCAGTGTGAGTGATGGGCTGCGAGGGTTGACGTGATGGATATGTCCTAGTGTTTGTCGGAGGTGAGATATTGAGAGTCTGCGTGGATTCCGCCAGCTTCCAGGGCATGTGAACGCGGTGCTGGACTGCGGATTGTGGCAGCAAGCTGACATAGTACTCAAAGATGGCACGCGGGAATCCCTGGCGCATATCCAAGTGAAACGTAGCGCCAGGGTAGCCCTGCATGATGTTATCGGTGATGGGTTTGAGGAACCGTGTTGGTGCAAGGTCCTCTGCATTTCGTGCCTGTACAACGACGCGCAGCGGCACAGTAGCACGGTTCTGGTTGCGTGGGTTAGGGAGAGAAGAGCCTAATAAATCAAAATTAAGCGATGTATACTTGTCCGAATAAGGTGACAACAATTGGCGAATCTGTGTCTCCAGCATGCGGGCTTTGGCTTCGATATCTAAACCGGTCAAAAACCACCATGCCTCTGCCTGAAACCCGCCTCGCGCAGTGATACCAACCTTAGTGGTAGGCGGAGGAGGACCGGATCGTACCCCATGAACAGCCACACGGTTGACGCCACGCTGTGAGAAGTGTATACCATTGAGGACCGCAGTGACATCGGAGTTGAAGTACCAAGGGCCTTGTATTTCATAGAGCAGTTGGGATGTGCAAGTATCGACAGTTACAGCCCCACCGGTAGCATGTGCCTGTTTGGTGATCACAACGTCGCCTTCGGCAGAGATCTCGGCGATGGGATATCCAATATTGGTCCAGCCATCTCCATCTGCGTGCTCTAGGGCTTTGAAGCCTGTAAAGTTGCCACCGCAGACATAGTTGCTACACTCAATCAGATGGCCTGCCACAAACGCATTCGCCAGCTTATCAAGCTCATCTCGCTTCCAGTCATGGTACCAGTAAGCAGCTCCGATGACAGGTGAAGCATCCGAGACCCGCCCACATAATACGATGTCGGCACCATCTGCGAGTGCAGCCGCAATGCCGAGACCACCGAGATAACACTGCGCATAGATAGGCTTGAATGACCAATCTGCCAATCGCTCGCCTGTGTAGACGTTGCGAAATTCAGACCCGGAAGTCAATCCCTTCTGGACAGTAGATAGCACTTCATCCCCAGAAACCCATGCAATCTAGCATCCAAATCAGCAACTTTTGATCGATCTTAGCAAGGCACTGGCTGACTGACCTTCAAGTCCAATTTCTTTGCCTCAACCATACGCATCACCACCTCGTAGAGGCCCTTGGTGTCGGTCACTCCAGCATTGACCGCGAGCTTAATTCCATACTTGGCCAAATCATTCAGAGCTGGTTCAAGTGCTTCGAGGAAGGAGAGATCGTAGGCCGGAGCTGTTGGTTCTTGGGAGCTTGCCTGGTCCACTCGCCGACCCGCGGCAGTGGCCATGTTAAACTCGCTCATGAAATCAGCAATGATCACATCGATAGGATCGGTTGGGTAGTGATGCGCAAATTCAGCGATAGCCTGACGCCGGTCTGAGGCAGAGCCCGAGGCACCTAATTGGTCAGTTGGAGTACATCATGATATGCAAGTATACTAACCTGCAATGCGAATTGGACGGCCCTTGTATGTCATTGTGTCCAAATATTGTCTTGTATACCTGTACAAACACAGAGGTAGTAGAATATCAGGCAATAAATGATTGAGCTTAGGTTTTCCCCTTTGTTTCCTTCACATCGCTTGCGTCACACGGCCGAGGTGAGCGTGTCCCTCGGCTGATAATGCGGGGTTGATAGAACGAGGGGAGATCTACTCTCTGGTCTTTGTGATGAAGTACGGGGAGATTTGTAAGGTTCACATTTTTTTTCTTTTCATTCGGAAGGGATCCCATTCGGCTATTGGGTTATTGAAGCCTCTTGGTCTGAGTGGTATGGGGAGTTTCAAACTGCCGATGCGATATCAGATATCAGCTAGATTACCGCCTTTAGACTAGCGTGTTTGATATACTTCATCCCAAAGAGTGCCCCTGTTAATTTAGGGGATTGATATAACCACCCCCCTTTGGATCAGACCACCCCCCCCTGCCTGAAAAATCAGTCACCGCCTACCTAATCTAGTAATATCTCTGCCTCGATATCTACACCTACCTACCGCTTACCTCACCACCTTCGAGGTTTCACACCGCCTTCGTGTCAAACTCCCCCGCACTATAGGACGACAGCAGATACCTACAATTTGTATGCAAACACATAGTAAAAACAAGTCACTTTTGTCAATAATGCAATTCTGGTTTACATACATTAACTTACCTTCTCCCAACTCATTTTTTCATCCGTATTTGCACCAAATCATCAGTTTTAATCCTTTTTTTCATCATTTCCATCCTGTTTTTTGTCATTCCAGCAACCAAAATGGCCTCTTTAGGCCTGGCATACCTTGATCCGTCGGGTTCCGACCCTAGTTCGGACGGGGACGGGGACGTGGAACTAGTAGTGCTGAAGCTAGCAGTACTAAAGGTGATAGCGCTGGAGCAGGGCGTGGACGTGGTCGGGGACGTGGACGTGGAGGAAAACGCGCGCGGGGAGGTGCCTAAGAAGCAGGATAAGCAATTTATAGAGTAGATCAATGCAGAAATGAATGAATTGTACGATTTTTTCTGATTAAAATGATGCATTTTTTACTATGTAAACCAGAATTACTATGGTGGTGGCAGAATTATATGGCAGAAAACTCTGTAGTGGCAGAAATTATGGCAGAATTCAGAGTCGCACCCGATGTGGAAAGCGGTGACTGATTTTTCAGGCAGGGGGGTGGTCTGATCCAAAGGGGGGTGGTTATATCAATCCCCTTAATTTATTATTAGTTATTGATTATTATATATTTGATAGGGAATTATGTATTCAGGATATCATTAAGAGAAGACAAGGTTTTCTGGTTAAGAGAAGATAACAACGCTGATGTTAACACCCAAGTGGTTTTCGATAACTCCATACATGCATAAAGGCATAAACATCCATGGATGTCAATCGCGAATTACCTACGACGCCTCGAGGTGGTCGGCATTTCTTCAAAGGCGTCATCGTCATCATCGTCGTCATCAATACCATCGCTGATGACACTCATGTTACGGGTGGAGCGGCTAGGTCGTGATGACTGAGGCGCGGTGGCCTGCGAAGCGGAGAAGTTGAGCGTAGACTGAGCTGGCTTACCGCGCGCAGTGGCCCGACGAGAAGCAGTCCCACCAACAGTAACCGATGACGGAGCTGGCGAGGCTGCCGCGCGTCCACCGCGGCGCTGAGTCGTCGTTGTCGTAGGGGCAGGTTTTCGTGGCTTCGCAGTAGTAGTAGAGCGAGGCTGCTTGACGAAGAGTGCCTGGGAATCATCGTCCTCATCATCGGAAATGACATTGGCTATAACATCGTGGTCATCATCATCATCATCATCATCATCATCCAGCATAATCACGTCTGATTCTTCATCTGAAACTGCTTGCTTTTTGCGACCCTTCGTAGGTTTTGTTTCCGGTGTAGGTTTGGACTTGTTGGTTCGCAGACCAGACGTCCCACCTCGACCACGACCCCTACCACGACCGCGAATAGAGGCTGCAGCACGACCACGAGCGGGCACTGTCCCATCTTCTCCAGCTTCGTCTTCTGCTGGATCCCCACCTTCATTGTCAGAATGAATAAGTGCACCAGGCTGGTCTTCCCACACGCCATCAAACTCGGAATCCCAACCATCTGGCTTTGGCTTGAAGCGCTTCTTTCCGCGAGTTCGCTTCTTCACGCCTTTTGAAAACATGGTTTCCATCTGACCGCGATATTTCTCCATAGCACTGACTAGCGAGCTTTGCTCCCCCTCCTCGTCATCCATTTCGTCCTCCTCGCGATCCAAGGCCAACAAGTGTTTTACCTGGCTCTCGAGGGATTCATTGACGAACATCTCCATTGCATGCTTGTCATCCTTGTCGATGAACTGGGCAACGGCATCCCCAAAGGAATTCTGCGGCAGAATGCTTAATGACTGTGATGAGAGGAACTCGCGCACTAGCTGTTCGACTTTCACAGTGTCAAGGGCCGATAGATGAGAGACAGCCGATTCATCCATGGATTTATCATCTTTGCGCGACGTAGAAGCGGTTTTTTTCTTGCGGTAGAATTGCACCACGTCATTCACATTAGCTACCTTACCAATGAAGCGGTTGGAGAATCGCTGTGGGTTTTCACAATCGTAACTACCTCCTTCAGGCGTGGAAGTCTCCACGCGGAGGCGAACGAGAGGAAGCGGAGCCTCCGGTGAGTCATCCTCGTCCTCATCAATGCGGTCGCCTTGCATCTCTAGCCATTCTGCGTTGGCTTCTTCGATCAGCTCTTCGACAATGGACATGAGGAATCGAGTTACTTCAGTGCGATTGTTCTCCTTGCGTGCAAGCTTTTGGGCTCCCTTTTCTTCGGATAATACAATTTCTCGCATCACAAACGGTCGCACTGTCTTTAATCGGATAGGTTCGTTTTTAAATTCTCGGCCATTTACGCTCAAAATCGAGACCTGTTTTGCGACGGCCTCTCCAGGTACCAAGGACGTTGCGACAGACGATCCTGGTTGCATAACATGGAATTTGGTCTCTGGGTTGAGCTTAGGATCAATCAGACATTCATGTTCATGGCCCCAGACGACCAAATCGAGAAATTCGGGAAGAAAATTCTCCGGCAGGTAACTGGTTTCTGTATGGGCATGATGATTCTGATGCACAGACATCAAATTGAACCAGTCATTTTTCTGCACAGACGGTTGGAAGAATTTAACCTTGCCGTCACGAAAGGTGCGGAACAGTCGCTCGTCTCGAACGTTGCTCATTCCGTACAACGCAAGCTTTGTCCGCCCTTTCTGTAGCAAGACAGGCTTAATTTGAATGTTGTCTGACTCCGGAGTCCGGCCGTAGTAGTTGAGAAGGCCGGACACTTGCAATAGATCCAATGCGGCCAGATGACCCTCTCCCGAGGGATCGTCGTGATTTCCGTGGATAGAGAAGATAGGGATGGCGACATTCATATCCAGGTCCTCATAGTTGACATGGTTGAACGCCCCCTGGAAGTTCTCACTTGCATCGCTGAGCATCTCTAGCTCACAGGGCTTGTCCCCGAAACAGTTCATTCGAATTGACCGCATGACCTGGTACATGGATTTTCGCGATGGCTTATTCTCATGGAACAAGTCACCGGCCAAGAGTACCATATCGACATCCCGTTCCTTGGCCAGGCACATTATTTCGTGGAAGCTCTTCCAGCTGTCGTCCCCACGGATCGGGTCTCGCTCGTTGTAACCGACATGATTATCGGTGGAGATGAGAATGCGAATGGTTTCCGCATCTACAGATATATGAGTAGTCTGAATAGCGATTCGGTGTCAAGAGCACCTTACCATTTGCTCCAGGCATTTTGGTTGACCGAACTCACGTGTCTCATCCAGCACTGGCCGGTGGGGGGCGGGTGATTGGGGTTGATGAGATAACCAGGGGGGAATGACTAGAAAAATATCGTGTCTCAATGAGCCATTCCAGAAGAATCACATCAAATTCGCAACTGATTCGTACTGAGAGAATGGATGATACACCCGGGCTCGCTGATTTGGCCTTCTGTCGCGCTGTCACGTGCTGAACGCGTTTTAGATAGCGGCCATTCAGTATAAATTGTGTTGTAGGGGACACAAGGCGGGAAAATTTCTACTTTAGATACTACTAGGGCTATATATGTATGATATGGTCAAAAAAAGGTATTATTTCTATCTCTTATCAAGTCTTATGAAATCTTTTTTTTTTTTTGAATAGAGCCGCATATGCCGCATCTCGCAACGCGTACGAGTACATAGCGGCCCTATTCGCTTTTATTGCCAGCAGAAAATTGTAAATTAACTCAGCAAGAGCCTCTCCTCTTAACTACGTAACTACCTAGGTAGTCATGAATGTTATATTATGTATGAAAAAACATCAAAAAGCCCGTTTATAGGAAAGACACCTATTCTCCAATTTACGACCGATCCAGGCTTGTCATAAACAGAAACCTAAAGAGAGACTAGAAAAGACCCTAGAAAGACAGATTTCATAGAGATTATCCAAATCCTATATTGTTGAGTATAGAAGCCATACAAGCGGCGAACTATTCTACTCCTATATAAATAACTCCCTTACTATAAAATCTAGGGACAATCCCTCATCATATCAATTGAACTATGTTAAAAGGCGGAAAATTAAGCGGTGAATCTTAGTAGCCAATAGGACCGAAGTACCCCCGCTGTCCGCGATAGCCGCATCTGCTTAATGTGCGGGATGGCCACTTTGCCTCGCCTTCGGCATCTTTGCTCTCTACCATTTCTCTCTCTTCAACACCGTCTCACTTTCCTATAAACCCTTTCATCGCATTTCTTGACTCGACTGACCCAGGCTTTTTCGCTGGCTCAGTCGCTACCACCTCATATTTCCGTCAAGACCTTTTTATGCAACCAGAGCCTACTGCCGTGCCTCAACATACGACCCCCGTTGACTCATACCCAGTCATTATCAGTCCCACCCAGCATGGACATGACCTCGACGACGCTCAAGTCTCTGATTTCCTCGCGCGAGAGGAGATCAGAGACTCTGCAGACGTCCCGAGCATGTCGACACAAAACGAATCTCATGCGTCCGTGAACGAGGTCGGCGGTCGGCATACCCAGCCCTCGACCGATCGAGTGAACCAACATGAGAAAGCTCAGACTTCCGCCGGAGAAGCAGCGATTGCTGCTTCTATCGGACAGTCGCAAACATCTCTTGACGCATTTCCAAATGGTAGGTGTCCTGCAATTCTACGGTGCAATTGTTCCTAACTGCGATTTCCAGAGGTTCTCACCCATATCCTATCGCATCTACCACCTCGATCCTTGACCGCCATCACGTTGGTATCCCGCCGATTTCATTCGTTGGTGACCACTCCTCATGCTTGGAGAATCGCCTTCTCGCGATTCTTCCCAGGGCCCCATGCCGTTGACGATGGTCGACGTACCAAGTCCGATGCGGCAGACCTACAGTCGGACAGGCGATTCTTTGCGAGGCTCATCGCCCTAGCCTCCTGGCGCAGCGAATACATCTTGCGCACTCGCTTGATGCACTCGTTAGCCCGGGGCAAACCGGCCCAGTTCAACCCGTCCAAAAAGCATGGAACTGTACGTGCGGCGAGTGCTCGCCATGGAAGTGCCATAGCTACGTATACATCACAGCTCTCCTTTCCGGTCAGTCACATACATGCCTCTTTCAGGCCTGACAAGAACCCTCTCTTCATTCATGGAGCTGCAGAGCAAGGTATTGCGTCTGCCAGTGACCCATCGACTGTAAAAGTCGGCACCTGGGGTGTCTCCGACCACCAAATGTTCCGCCACTTTGCAGATATGTTCCCTGGTGAAGCGCAATACGGCCTCGGATCGGGTGATATGGTCGGTGTGCCCAACTTGATGGATGTCAGTCAACCATATGGCATGATCTATGGCGAAGGCTGTCCCCAGGGCCGCAGCTACTTCATCTCAGCGACGGAGCAGCGTGGGCGTTTCTTGGGAGCTTCGGATTTGGGTTCTCATCCACCACTCGGCATCCCCGCTGTGAACATGATCACACATGCTGTCTGTTCGGTGTGGATTGCTAAATCCTCTCACATCCTCAAGATGACCCAGGGGCTGGTGGGAATGCTGTCTGGATCTTCTTCGGGTGTGTTGACGGCGTATTCTATAGGCCCTCATCCGGCCTACGAAAGGCGATACGAGCCCGGTCAAGTGACTGCTAGATGGGTCCTGTCCCCTGGTGTTCCTATTATTGGAATTGCCGTGGATGATCAATATTCACCCAAGCGCCATTCAGGAAAACGAATTTGGGCTGTTGCCCTCAATGCTCTAGGAGAAATATTCTACCTCACAGAACTTCCTCGTGCACCTGAGATTCCACTCACAGCCAAACTTAACACCGAGCAGCTTGATGAGGTGGCTTGGAAGACTGGCAGAAGTGTTAATTGGGATATGGTCGAAGCGAGCAGACGTGTGGCACGCCCAGACCCCTTTAATCGTGAATTAGTCGATGGCAGCTACAGTCCGCGCTCATCATCCGATTCCATGGGGCTCAATGAACACCAGATTGCCGCTGAAACGAAGGAGATTGAAAATTTTATCTCTTTCAAGCCCAAACACTTCCGCAAGGTCTGTGAAAGCTGGGACATGCAACGCGATCTTAAGGTGGACTTTGCTGGCGATGATGGATGCGGGGCAGGCGAGTCAGTCATTATCATTGCTCGTGGCTCGGGTGAAGATGCAAAGGCGTCGCTCCGACGGTTCATGCGCACTGCTTCTACGTCTGGTTTCAGCTCGTCGGCCACGCCAGAGCCTTTAACGGGTACACCAGAAGCTCCACCATCACTCTTCGGCGGCCCAGTGAACATACCAAGTCCGAACATCACCAACGGTCTTCCCCCTTCTCGATTCTCTGGACGGATGGGCTCACATTCGACCAATTCCGGATGGCGTCTGTCGGATTTTGTTTTCGGTGAGCACAAATCTACGGAAGTGAGCACTACTGCGTTGGATACATCAACTTTCGCGACTCTTACCGCCGAAGAGGATCCTCTTTTGGCTATGTCCGGGAGCTCTACTTCGTCTGCAACATCCTCCCCAATGGATCGGTCGCGGTTGGGCCTAGAAGTTCCTGGGCAACGCGCTCGATACCTAGCTGTTGGAACACACACTGGGATGGTATTTGTCTGGGATATCCGAGCACCGGCGGCGAAGTCTGCGGAGATGATCAATTCCATTTTCTCATTGCGCACCATTCAAACAGACTCGCCCCAGGTGTCTTCTTTGGCCATCACATCGTTGTATCTTGTCCATGGCGGTAACGATGGCCTTGTGCAGGCCTGGGACCCGCTAGCATCGTCTACCAAGCCAATCCGGACGATCAACTCCCGTTTTTCGACCCGGGCCCGCCGTAGGCTTGTGCAGGCTGAGGCATCTATTCTGGGTGTTGGGAACAATTACTATGCCACAGGCGCAATATGCCTTGATACAGATCCAACCGTTCTGCGTGGGATGGTCTCACTTGGAACCCACCTGCGATACTGGTCTTACAGCTCTTCCGAGGCTGATCAGTACAAGAGCAGCAAGCGCCGCCTCCGTCACTTGATGCGTGGCGGAAACGGGCCCGGTGAAGGCCAACGCTTCAACAATAGTGGTCGGGGTGCAATTGAGGACTTCATTGAAGATGAACGCGTTGATATGGAGCGTCAAAGGATTGCCGATGAGAAAGAACGAGCACATTTGAGCGCGCGTTTCGGAATCGATCTTCTTGGGCCAGACATTGATGAGGAACAGCTTTTGCTGTATGCCCAACTCCTGAGCGAGGAGGCCTGCTCTACCGATGCGACGAAACCCATGGACGGCGTTGCAATTTCCAGCTCGGCCACAAGCACTTCATTCGAAACTATTGGTCCTAGTTCGGTTGGCCCTGGCGAAATCTCGTCCTCTTCATCTCCCTATCAAGATGCCGCGGACGATAATGATGACGACGAACTGGCCGAGGCAATTCGTCTTAGCTTGCTTGACGAGCAAGGTATTGACCAGACGTCGTCTATCCCTATCAAATATGCTAAGGGAGTATACCCGCCTCGGCAGCCATCGCCTAGAGCTGAGGAGGCTGAGGGCAGTAGACAGCAAGAGATGGATGATCTGGAGTTTGCAATTCAGCTCAGTTTGGCCGAAGGCAAGAGTCGCGAGGATGGTGTAGAGGAGTGGGAGGAATTTCCATCTCTCGCGCCGGGACCAATGCCTGCGTCACCGTCAGGCAAGGGCAAGGGGAAAGCGAGGGCTGTTTAGAGTCGATTTTGAGTTATGTTGCATTTTGCATCTTGATTTCCTGTCGTGTTATTGTTCTTTTAAGTGTTTGATACAAATTGTTTATAGAAAAAAGAAGATCCGATGTGAGGAAGCTCTTGCGTCATGGCCTGGGATCATTTACATATGGTACCTAACTGGAACTCTCGTACTCCGTCCACAACCATGCAAAATATAGAGATCCCTCCACTTGATGTTTGGGATTGTCTCTTCGAAAGGAGAGAGAAACCTTTCCCAGATGACCACAGTACGTACATTTCGCTCATATCAAAACCAGATATTAACGGGTATAGTCATCTTCAAATCGCTATCAGGCGAAGTCCGGACCTACAACGACATCCGATCCCAAGCCCTAAGTTTTGGTGCCAATCTTCAAAGCCAGTGGGGATGGAGAAAGGGTGATATTCTCTTATTCTTTGCACCAAATGACATCGATGTCCCCGCGTTATTTTGGGGATGCCATTGGGCCGGAGGGGTAGTCTCACCGGCCAACCCGACATACACTGCCGATGAGCTGGAATACCAACTCAGTGATACCGGGGCAAAAGCACTTGTCGTACACACCTCGCTGCTAGACGTTGCAATTGCAGCTGCAAAGCGCGTCGACTTTCCTGTTGCTCACATGTTGGTTGTCGGTCCCGATTCTCCAGAAGCAGAGCTGCAACATGTCGAATCTATGCTGGGAGGTGGAGCGTCTGGAACAACACGCCCGAAGATAGACTCAGCCGTCGATACAGCCTTTGTGGTATACTCTTCCGGGACTTCGGGACGGTCCAAGGGGGCAAGGATCACCCATACCAATCTTGTGGCGGAGATCATCATACAGAGACAAGTTGACGGTGCACACATAAGCTGGAGACATGATCGGTTCCTCGCATTCTTACCAACATATCATATATTTGGTATGGCAACTTTGAACGGAGATAACCTTATTTACAGGCTGGCTAACCAGTCTATGTGCAGGACTTGTATGTTTAGTACATTTCCCTCTTTTGATGGGAATAGAAACAACAGTAATGGAGAAGTTCTCCGTCAATTCGTTCTTGCACACCGTCCAAACCGAATCAATCACCCATATCTATGTTGCCCCGCCTGTTGTTCTGCACCTTGCCAAAGATCCCGCAATGACGCGCGAACAACTATCGTCATTGAGAATGGTAACCTCGGGCGGTGCACCACTGGCACCGGATCTGGTCCGTGCTGTGTACGATCGTCTGAAGATTCCGGTGCGTCAGGGATTTGGATTGACCGAGTCGACAGCTGCCTCCCACATGCAGGTATCCTCCATCACCCCATCAGATCCATGTAATTCTTCGGGGCCTTAAATAACGTATTCCAACAGAGATGGGACCGATGGGATCAAGCATTAGGGTCAAGTGGTCCTCCATATCCTCAAGTCGAGACGAAGTTCATTGACGAGCAAGGCAACCCAGTAAGCAAAGGCGAAGGCGAACTGTGTCTTCGAGGACCGACTATCTTCCCAGGCTATCATAACAATGTCGAGGCCACTGCGCATTCCATCACGCCTGATGGATGGTTCAAGACTGGTGATATCGGATTCCAGGATGAGGAGGGGAATCTCTTTATCACAGATCGTTTAAAGGACCTCATTAAATTCAAGGGCTTCCAAATCTCCCCATCGGAGATAGAGAGTGTCCTGCATGAACATCCACTTGTGCATGATGTCGCTGTGATTGGACTTGTTGTCCAGAAGATTGCGTCCGAAATACCGGTTGCTTATGTGGTTCTTGAGAAGACGGATAAACCAACGCAGCAGGTTGCTGAGGAGTTGGTAGTCTACGTCGATGGGAAACTAGCTCCTCATAAAAAGCTTCGAGGTGGGATTATTCCGATCGGTGAGATTCCTAAGAGTGCCTCTGGCAAGATTTTGAAGCGAATCTTGAAGACTAGGGCTGAAGGGGTCGATCAAGGGAAAGCTATTGGCGCTACAATCTATCAGGATCGTTCTTCCAGGCTGTGATATTTACGAGGAAATAAGAATGTTAATGACAAAAGGACTAGCAGAAAGTAAACGGATTTCTTGCCACATATATTGTGTCTACTAACTCCTTCCCAGCGTACATGCGATGGTTTGATGCTGGAAGCTTGAAAACGCGAAAAGAAAAGCCAAAGCTGTGAATTATTTCAGAGGAATCATGCACAGGTCGACAACTGAATCACAAGAAATCCGGGCAGAGGAGACAAGAGTAACCCATAGAGAAAATAGATCCTCGATACCCGATATCAGCCTCTTGGTCATCTCAGTCCCAAGTCTGAAGCTCAGAAATGAACTGATCAAAAGCCATCAGAGCAATTACACCAGGGATGCAAGCAGCATGAAGAAACTTCCTACACCACCAAGGGCAATCAAGGGAGCGCCATTAGGAGAGGCGGCATTGGGAGTGGAAGTACCGGAGCTGGAGGAGTCAGAGGAACCGGAGGTACTTGATCCGGATGAAGACGGGGTGTTAGCACCGCTCTTCACCTCAAACTTGACATCGGTAATCTCCTTGCCGGTGTAGTCATACACCTTCTGGGGGATGGTTGTGGACGAGACAGAGACCAGCTTGCCAGTGGGGGCATCGGGCAGACCGTTCTTGATGTAGTCCGAGACCTTGGAAGGAACCTCGGGCAGATCCCAGGCATCGTAGAAGGACTTGCTCTTGATGAGTGATGGACTGCATGCCTCGGCCTTAACATTGGCCTGGGTGGCGTTGCTTGACATGATACGGTCCATGTCCAGCTTGTTGAGCTGTTTCTGGAAGTTATCATAGTCGATAAGAGTGGTCACGGTCTTGGAGTCGTTGACCTTGACCATGCCGTAGTCATTCTTCTCCTGTGTCCATTCGTAAACGAGACCACCAGAGAAAGCCTGGGTCATCTCCACGCCGTAGAGGGCCTGCACTTCGGTGAAGATACGGGGCTTGACATCGTTACAACCGTACTCGGAGAAGAAAACGGGGATAGTGGCGTTGGTGAAGTCCTCGGTTAAGTCATCGAAGCCGCTGGCCTTGTAAGAAGAGTCACCGCACCAAGAGTAAGAGTTGAGGCCGAAGAAGTCGGCGCGGGAGGAGGTCGAGTTCTTGAGGTCACACTCGAAGTAGTGAGTAGTGTCCATCAAGATGTTACGGATGTCGGCAGCGGAGTATCCAACGGGAATGGCGCGCTTAGCGTTCTTGGCGATGTAATCCTTCATATCACGAACAATAGCACGGATGTACTTGGGGGCCAGGTAATGGGCATCCTCGTTGATTACCTCATTTCCAGCGAAGAAGCCCAGGACGTTGTCGTAGTTCTTGAAGCCCTCGATGACACCGAACACCTGCTTGTAGTAGATGGCGCTGTAGGTAGTCCAGGGGGCGCTGCGGTCCAGGTAACCACCGGCCAGAGGGTTGCTAACATCGAGAATCATGTAGATACCGGCGGCGTTGAAGATCGACGCGCACTCGTCGTGGTTGAGAGAGGGTTCCAGGTTGTACACACGGATTGTGTTGACCTGTGGAAATTAAGTTGCTGTACGGTAAGGAACATGGGGTCTAGACCTACACCCAGGCGCTGCATCAGGGCAGCATCGCGCAAGCAGACATCTGCATCGCTCAAAGGGTCTAGCTTCGTGGTGAAGCCAGCTTCACCACCGGGCTGGTAACTTTGGAGGGGGTCAGGCACCGTAGAATGTGGGAAATAAACAGCCCTGGAGGCAAGGAAGTCTTACTCAACACCGATAATCTGGAAACGATCCTTGGTCTTGGAGTCAACAAAGTCCTTGCCGTTGACTTCGAGTGGGGTCAGAGCGGCCGCGGTGCTGGCAAGCGCACACACGGATGCGAAGAGACCAGTGTAAGACTAAAAGGTCAGCTTTTGAGTCATAATGATAGAGACGGGACAATACATACAATCATTGTGAGATCAAAAGTAGAGAGAATCAACACAATAAAGAGAGAGGGGAGGGAGATATATAATAAGTTGATATAAGATGAGATAAGACGATTAACGAGTGACAGCGCAATGGCGCGAAAATGGAAGGAACGATTGAAACCAAAATGAAGAAGAAGAAGAAGAAAACGAAACCCAAGGGAATTAAAGGTCTTAAATGATATTGAGTTAAATGAGTTACTGTTAAATGACTTTGGAAATAATTTCAGTCTACTCCATAAAGAAACCCAATTGATCAGCGGTGTCAATTTAGTGGAGCGCCATAATCTCTGAACAAATAATAGGGGCCTTGGAGGGTCCTAGAGGGTCTTGGGGGGTTTTGCGTTCTTGGAGGTTTCACTTCTGCGTTTCATTTAGTTATATCGGTATATGCAGGACTCCGTACGGATTCCTACTATGCTATATATATACATTTATAACATCCAAAAAAAAAGTAGAGCTCCATTTCTTTTCTCTTCCCCAATTTCTTTTCTTTCCCTCCTTTCCCTCCTTTCCCTTCCTAAGACGAACTCGGCCAAGTTCGGCCAAGTTCGGCCAAGAATTCCCACTCAGGCCAAGATGCCCTTCAATAGTGATTGCTCAGACGCCATGTCTGGGCAATCTGAGCTATTTGGGCTGTGTTGGAATGCTACACTCAGGGGTATAGGCTGCAGAAACCTCCAGTTTTCCTCGATACTGTTATTAGAAAATATTTGAAAGTTGGGGATATGTATTATGTCCCAGTGTGATTAGGGCTGGGAGATAGTGGCCTTGTATTTCAGGTGTCGAACACCGACCTGCCTGTTTCGGAACATCCTCACTTTATACTTGACCTCTTATTCACTCTTCTTCCTTCTACTCTCATTCTATATATATCCCTCCCATCATGATCATTTTCAACTAGAATGTAGAATGTAGGATACAGAATATAGAATAATTTTGATCAATACCTCGGCAATAGATTGTAAGCACAGAGGAGAGCTCCACGGAGTAGGGGACCAATCGTCGTCAAGAATAACTAGTCTGGCTTTGTACCGAGTTATGTAGCTATGTTGTATAACTATGTACTATATTTCCTCTGCCAGGTCGGGGTTTCCTGTCTTAGCTGCCACCGATTTTATAAGGGCGCTCAGAGTCAGGCTCACTGAGTAGATTCTGTCAAAGTTCCAAGGTTGAATACACGTCTTCGTAGACATAAGATAGAGAGGTGTCTGGTATATACCTCATAGGAGAAGTCAAAAGAGAGAGGTAGCTTTAGGCTTTAGATTGGTGGTATCTCTTATGCTCCATTAATCGAACTTTTTGACAATGAATCGCCATCAATCCGTCCAACTTACATGGTAGTCTTCATCCACACCCTTTTGTTTTCCGTATCCCCCACGGCTCCTGGGCAACGAACATACTAGTTCTCCGCGATATAAATTATGTGATACAAATTTGAGAATTCCATCTAAAATACAAGTTGTTGAGAGGTCAGGTCCAGTCTTCTATTCGATGTTATCGTCGGTGCCAGTCTTGGCGCCGACAGATTGACCACCATCGAGTGCGATAAGTTCGGCGAGGATTTCAAGGGTTTCCTTGGGAACGGTCTTATCGTAAATTCCGATCAAATCCTGAGTAATTACAGCAGTTAGAATGATGATCAGAATGATAGGAATGGTTTGTACTTACCTGAGGCTGGGGGTAGACCTTCAATGCTTTCCAAAAGGCAATTGCTGCTTCGACTTGGGAGCCTGGGGATTCAGTTAGCCATCTGTTTATTCCTGTTGCGACGTGTAACCGATATCTCGATCCCGTCTCTCACAATCGACATGGGATGAGACAATGGATTCAATTTACCTTCCGAAGCACAAAGAGATTCGCCCAACGCGACTTGGCTCATAAAGAAGCTTTCCTTCTCTTCGAGATCTGTTGGAAGTTCACCGTTCTTCTTCACTTGTTCGAGCGCATTCTTGAGCTCTGCGACCCTGGCTGCGGCGCCGGCCTCTGCCTCCTGCTTCACGCTTTGTTCGACCTTCTTGTTGTTCTTCTTCAACGACTTGCGGAAGTTAGGGTCGCTTTGACGCTTGTGATCGAAATAAACGGCGTAGGCTGGTAAACACGGTTAATAATTGAAAAACGCGGCAAGACGAATGCTTCATACCGAGAACTCCCGTCAGGATCGTGCCGGCGACGATAGCAGTGTTTCGGAAAGCCATAGTGAAAATGTGGGATCAGATCGAAGTAGAGGTATGGGATTTGTCCCAGATGAGCACTGTATGAGGACTTGGAGAAGCGATAGTGGTTGAGTGGTGGTTGGGTGATAAAAATGTTTCAAGGATGTCGAGATGTCCGGGGCCTATTAGGGATTATATAATCATACCCGATCGTCATCCCCTTGACCTCCCGAGACGTTTCCATTCCTTAATTATTACTACATTGCCAAGTGAAATCACCATGGAAGGTCGAGGATTGACTCTGAGGAGCAAGGCTCGTCGACAGCGCCCTCAGATTAGTGCTCCCAAACCCATCTCCGGTCCTCTACCTCCCAATACCAGATCTCCCGAATCAGGCCCAGCCGCAATCCCCACACGTGAGCGGGCACCCCAGAACGATGCGACCTCGGATCTGGTGAAACGGCGATACTCGACTCGATTCAATAGTGCACCGGAATTTGATAGCAATGCTCCTCCTGTTCCGGCACTTCCAACTCAAGTGCCCGGAGGACGTGGTGGTTTAGCACCAGGAGCTATTCCGAGACTACCATCACCAGCGGACCCGAACTCACCAGCACCAAAAGTCGACCTTAATGCTCTACGAGATCCTAGTCTTCCAGTTGATCGATGTTAGAGCTTCCTGGCCCGTCGCTGTGTATTTGAGAAAGCTAACCAGGAGTTTCCGATGCTAGATGTGGCCGGTCTTCTTGCCAACGCGTCCGAGGAAGATATTCAAAAATACCAAGAAAGCCTACGCAAAGTCAAGAACCGAACATCCACCGACCTCCAGCAAAATGTTTATCAGAATCGCACCCAATTCATCAAGATCAGTAAAGAGGCGGAGAAGCTCAAGGATGAAATGCGGACCCTCCGT